GAAGCCCATTCCCTCAAGGCCACATGAAATGTCCTTAGCAGGTGCTAGGACTGGGTAATATGTTATTATATGACATACGTAGTCATTTCAACTGAAAAACAAAGACATTAAAAGGTTATTACATTATTATACTGTATTTTAGAATATTAATAGGATAAATATCATGATTTGATGTTTTGATGTGTTGCACAGCACTAGTTATTGGATCTACCAAAAAAGCTTGATGGTTATTTGTCATGGTGTAAGGGTAGGTTTGCTAGCAGACAACGTGGTGGATCATTTTCATCATCCCCAAAGCATCTCTCTCTGGCATAGTAGCTCTGTGTGGTTACAGAAGATACTGTATCTGGTATATTCTATTCCAAACTATTAACCCATGTTATTAACCGTGCAGAAGCCTGCAAATGTTTCAGTTAAATCCCTACTTAGCTGTTTTAGCTTATCTTAGTTTATTCCTCACCAGGTCTTATTGAACAGTGCACTTAACTGTCAAGACAAACAAGCTAATTCAGAAAGTAGCTGGCAGATACCTAGCAAGTGCCAAGAAGAAGTAGTGGGATAGGTATCATGTTCATAAATCCTTGTTATATAGCAGCATCAGTTACCTAACTGGCTAATTACCGTACAGTACTTCAGGTCAGGCAGCATAGTTTCTGTGCGTAAGACAAGTCATTTGGGGCATCAGCTGTCACAGATGCGAAAGGAGTGTCTTCAAACGAGTCCGCCTCAGAACACAAATGTTGACATCAGGAGTCTCCGGAAACTCACATTGTTGCTTGATGAGTCACCGGAAGTTTACATGGTACCGTTCACTATCAACCAGCAGCTTCTTCTGATATTTACTGGTCATATCATGCTCCAAGTTAATAATATTTACTGCTGTGCAAAATGCTTGTGTTGACACAATTAATGATGCAAGATGAGGGGGTATGTATGGATATAAAATGGATACGTTTTGCAGAGAGTACAGTGAGTCACATGTGAATGTAGCAGCATAGCTAAATTTTTCTGCCTAAACTTGCTGTCAGACTTCACTCCTGATCTGTTGTGATACTCTTAATCCTAATTTACAACTGGCGGCCTCTAGCTAGTGCTGGTGGGATTCTCAGAGCTTTCAAGTTGTAAAAAAGACGAAGCTACTCGTCACCTATCCCCTCCCTTGTGTCGGATTGTGCCTTCTTTTCCCGTCACTCTTTCTATTTGCTCCTGCTAGGAAAAACTGTCTAAAAATAAATGCACTGATTTATTATTCATGTTAAAATAAACTCACATTCAACAAAAAAAGTCCCTGATCCTCTGTATGTACTGACTCTGATCCAACCTGGATCGGAGCCTTTAGAGACTCTGATCCGACTTCAACCCATTCCCCTGGCTTCTGGAATGCCAAAAATGCCACAGTACTCCCTAATCTGCCAACCTGGGATTTCCAGCTGCCCTGGAGATGCTGGTGAAATCTGGGGCAGCAGAGCTACAAAGCAGAGAGCACAGAGGTATGCTAGTGATTGGAGAAGTTTGCTTGTGACAGCACAGACACCTGTTTGAATCCTGGCTAGAATATTCTTGATAGTTGGATTTAAAGAAATGTTAGCCTCTGGGTCTTGGCCACATGATGTAAGATTAGTAGTACAGTGGTGAAACTGGCAACTTTTATTTTATTTATTGTTCATCTAAAGGCCTAGGGATCCCAGAGTTCCCCCCATCTTTGAATGGGTGGAATAACCTGCTATTTCTATATGGATTTTATTAGCCTCCATTTCAGTTATGTGTTAGTGTCCCATAATAAATGTAAAAATGTGGAAAATGCTATATATTGTCTGCAGCTTCAATCCAAAGGTGAAACTGATTTTACCCTAACACTAATGATTGCCAAGCCAAATAAGACAGAACGAGGTTATGCAAAGAGGACAGAGGCATGATCAAACACACGACTCGACATTTGAACACATTCTTTAGCAAAACATTTCTAGAACGCAGCCCCCTCTCTGACTAGTTTTACCTGTATGATACCACTGTTACTCACAGGTTACTACAGTCAGTATGACACTTGGTGTGTGTCAAAGTGTGGCACAGAGGAGCTTGTGGCCTTTTGATATCTTTGCATTTTCCCACTTGTGTTCTTAAAAGCTTGATTCCGTATGTGCAAGACTGGGCCTGTGAGCCTGTTTGCATCTTTTCAACATTTGAATGGAAAACTTGCGTAACGGCCAAACGCTGATGTCAGTAAGTAATTTATAGTTAATAGTTTCTCCACTTTAAACTGAAGTTAAAGTAAAAAAAAAAAAAACTCTGAAAAAAAACCTCAGCATTATTAATCACTCATGCCTAGATGCCTTTGGAAAAGGCACTAAAATTCTCTAAAAATAAATCAAACATAAAGTTGATATTGGACGCAATAGGACAAATAGGACAATCGAATGGGACTGAATGATGCCTCTTTTTTTTTATCTCATAACAGTTGGCGTAATATAGAGGGAAATTATTTCAGGGATGAATGAAAAATGAATCACTCATTTACTCAGTCCCTTTCTTCCGCCCCTTCACATACATTCTCTGTTGCAGCTTGAAGCATTCACTCACACATCACATAAGAGGCTCATCCCCCAACTGATTTTAAAAGCATAATCAATTTTAAAAGAATGCTGAATACTTTCACTCCGAGTACACCTTGACATACTGGCAGTTCTGTACCGCTGTGGCCACAACAGGAGTTAAACCTCTGACTGTGCCATGCTGTAATCACTGAGCAAAACAACACCATCTGCAACTCATAACCCGCTCAGCTCTCCTTCACTACCTTCTATTACTTAAATAAATGCTGTTGTTCCTCTTGTTTACCCCTCAAGGTTTAATAAATACCCAGTGTAATTGAGCATGATACAAAGACAAAATGGAAAGATTGAATCGCATCCCAGTCTTTCCTTATCACCTCCTTTACTTATAGTCCTGTAGTTTATTGCCTGTGAAGTACTTAGACATTGTTGTTGTTTTAAGATGTTCTGCACATTTAGCTTTTACTGACTGGATACTTGTATACATGTTTTTTAAAGAGCCTTCATAACTGTGAGTGTTCTAGTTAAGCTGCTCCCCGCCTCTGTTGTTGAGGGGAAAAGGTCAGGACTCAGCCTACTCGCTTCATCCTTTCACATATGAGAACAGCCTAGATTCAAATCCAAGAAACGGCTGGAGATGAAATTCTTGACGGGGGGGGGGGGGGGGGGGGGCTGAAACTATAACACTTTCTCAGACTCTCTATCACACAGATAGAGAGTAATGTGATGCCTTGTTGCGCTGCCCCTAGACACAACAATTTCCTTTACATAAATTATGATCACAAGGTGCAAGAAGCCATTAAAGATGTTAACCTGTTCTGCTTACACTCAAATGAGCCTGGTCATGTCTGAACCTTTGGTTTTGACTTCAAGTTTTCTCCTGCTTCGTAAAACTGTTTTTCATGCTGACCTGAAAGGGTTGAATTTGTTCCAGGGAACAGTCTTAGAACCATAATCCCTTCCCACATCCTGACCTTAACCTTTGCCAGTGGTTGTGGAACTTGACAGGGAGTGAAGAAAAATACCCACTCCTGTTACATGCTCCACCCCTACTCCTCAAAAACATTTCTTTTCACCAAAATCCGACCGTCTGACATTTCACAAATTCAATTCAGAACAAGCAGCCTGCTTGAACGTTCATCACTTAAAAAAGAACTTGCATAATTACTCATTTAGTCAGCACTTGTGAATGTGATTAACAACATCAAACCTTGAGGCCAAGACTCTATTAACACCTTCAAAGGACCAAACCTCCAGAGATGCTTCATTGGATGCTGGCTTTAAATTCCAGCTTTTGAGGTTAACATTTCCGCTACAGTAACAATATGTCAGTGTCCCATTAACTATTGATGTAGCATCAACTAGCTTGCAAAGTCTTTGCACGCTTTGTTTTCCATGTTAATCTGGAGAGCAATTTATCTGCATAACACAAGACTGAACTCTCTCACTCCTTGAAAATAACATCACTGATTTCTACATCACAATGTCGCTCCTTGTCTGCTGTATCATAGGCATGTTTACAACACCCAGTATATTTGTGAGAAATGATCTGAACATTCACCAGTAAAAGCTTGTGATATAATCCTCAACAGAATGGTTTGAATTAAAGCATGCTGGGAGACAGAGGGCTGAACACTGGCCTTATTCTGGTCAAGTACAGCTACAAAGCTGCTGCATTGTGAATCAGTTCCTGGAATTAAATCACCACAAGGTCTTTCAGCTTTGTATACACTATATGTGTCAGGAAAGTCCAGGTTTGAATCTAGCATTGGAGTTTTGTCCCATGCCATCCTTCTCTCTCAGTCAACTGCAATCAGTCCAGTGAAAGAGTCCAGCTTTGAGCAAGGTGCTGAACCCCTAACTGCACAGGGTGCCTGGTTATGTAGCAGCCCCTTCGCTCTGACATGTCTCCATACATTTATGCATGTGCACAGATCCTGTTTGTGCATGTGTTAATAATGTCTTCTTCTCACAGGTTGATAGACTGTTCAAATGCCTGTGGTACAGTTTTCTATAACTTTCAGCCTTCAGATGAAGACTCAAGCAAAAGGTCAAATGTGACACACTGATATGGATTTGCAGCACCTGAATTAGATAAACAGTAGTGTTAATGAATAGATAGTGAGAACACAGTCCTAACTAAAATGCATGTTAATCATTGACAATTGACCAACTCAAAAAAGTTGCAAGGAGCAGTTGTAGAAAGCATGAACCATGAACAGCAAAGAAAAGTAATATGCACACATATAACACACCTAACCACCTGTGCTTGTGACACATATCATAGAGTAATCTATACATCATAAACTACTGATAAGAGGATGTTACATTGTGATATAATGTCTTTTCAATTGTAACCAAGCATGCATCCAGCACAAATGTGCTTCTGCCCACCAGTTGATTGTTTCATCACATTGTCAGGCTCCCCTCAGCAGACAGTCTGGTACTCACCCACTTTGAACTGAGACGTCTTGTCGTCTGGGTTTGCGTGCTCCTTAACCAGCATCATATGCAGGATGCCGAAAGAGTTTTGGATCCCGAAGATCGACCCATTGCACCAGGTGGCCGCAAAAACCACCAGCCAGCCGTAACCCCCCTCGGGTGGGACGAATCCGTTCATCTCCACATGGACCCCTGCCTCGGATTCAGAAGCCGGGGAGAGTGGCGGCTTGTACCCGGCCTCGGGCTGCACCGTGCTGTCCTCCTGCACGATTTTACACTCGCTGCCAGCCGTCTCACCATCCTTGGTCCTGTCTGCTTCTTGGGGAGCATCTCTTTGCTCTATCTGAGGATCTGCAGCTGGCTGCTCCGTACGGGACTCTCCGCTGGACGGCTGCGCTTGATTGTCTAACCCGTTGATCCCCATGTTGCCTGGTCTGATGGAGAGGTTATTGTGGACTCTTGGCACACATGCATGAGATATGGGTCACTGACATAAGACGACCAATTTGGAGCAAAGATTTAATTGGCTATCTGTCAAAATGTGCAAGACAGACGGTCACTAACTGAGAAGACAAGCCCCCTACACCCCGCTTGGCGTGGCCCCAGTCTGAGTGTCAACTTCAGCGAATAAACCCCAACCTGCACACGTTAAATGTGTCATTCTAGTCTGAGATCTGTGTTTTTCCAGGAAACACCAGGCACCGCCTATTTCGCATTTAAATGTAAGCTCATGCGTCTATGAACAGCCTAAAGAGACTAAAACCATTTAGCCTATTTACTTTTGCTGTCTGCTCGGTGCCAAAAACGGATCATCAACCTGTGAAAACGTCCGCTCAGCCTCGACACCGTGTCGTCCTGTCACTGAGTCCGCACACGGTCCGCAACATCTCCTGGTGACAAAACAGGCCTAAACGCTCAGGCGCTCCTCCTCTTTCAACTGATACCTTGGTGTAAATGTTAAATTGGTAGGCCCGCGCGGGTCCCAGAAGCTGTCTTTGCTCGTAAGTGTCAACGGAGCTACGGCCGTCATTCAACAGCTAGTCCCCGCCTCCCATCCCCGGCGGATGGACTGCTGGACGGTTGGAACCAATGGCGGAGCTCAAGTGCAGTTACTGGACAGTGGTGGGACGAGCTTGAACTTCGTGTCTTGTCGGAATCACGGAAAATCCCGAGTATTTGTCAACTTCAGCTCTCATATGTCACCCATGCAAACCCACTTTCCTCATCGGACAAAACTGGTATTTACATCCTGGCGTTAACCGTCAACTGTGACATCTGTTTCAGCCGTATCTTCGGTTGGATTAAGCTAGTAACGTTATTCAGTCACTGTTTTCATTAAGCAGGGAGAGGGTTTGGTGGTTTATTTAGTTTAACGCTATTGTCAAATAGCCGTAGTCTCTAAGTTAACGTTATCCTTGTTCAGTCGGTGCTCGTTTGTTTTATCGTTTTCCTAATATTTCTTTAACACGGTTCAGCGGGAGTACAACTCAACTTTCATGTTGTTCCCGTCTAATTCTGGACTAACTCTTGCTAAGGTGGGTGTCCACTTTCCAATGGCTCAAAATGTGATCAAAAAACAGAGGTGGGAAGTAATCAAGTAGGTTAACGTTACATTTAGTCAAGTAACGTAGTGTAAGGTGCTTACATTTCCAATTTATGCTACTTTATACTACATCACTAAGTTATATTTCAAAGGGGACTAAGGCACTTTTTATGCCACTGCATTTATTTGACATCTATAGAAGTGGTGGAAGGAGTATTTAATTATTTTACTAAAGGAAAAGTAGCAATACACCAGTGTACAATTCTCCCATTACAAGTAAAACCTCTGCATTCAAATGACATGACTAAGTTATACATACATAACAGGAGCAAAATAAGGTGTTGTTTGTGTAGGGAAAGGTCCATTATTGTATATCATTACATTATTATAATGCTCATGGCTTTTTGTGTATCCAGTACTGTTGTAGTTGTTACTAGGTGGTTTAATCTATATCAATTCATAACATTTAAGCTGATTTTTGAATGTAAAGTGTTTATCTGCAAAGTAAATCAGCTGTAGTTACTGGGTGCTTAAGATACTGGGCAGTAAGATTTTACATACAAACTGTATGCTCTGTAAAATATGATCTATTGTTATATTTCAAATATACACTAGGCCTATATAAAGTATTGAAAATTAAGTCCACCCTTACCCACTACAATTTTTAAATGCTGCTTACATGCATCAGTATTAATAATCCATTAATATGTATATAATACTCAGGATTATGAGTATCAAGGTTATTTGTATAACACAAGGTTGTACAAGGAAGTGAAAGTTTGAAGTCTAATGAAGCTAATTCTGCAGAGCATTTTTAAATTTGTGTCTGCGAGAATGTAAACATTAGCAACAACACAGTGATGATAATATGGTTTTCATCTTCACATATACAAATTAGTAAAATGATTATTCAATTATTTAAGATTTTTATTATTTCTTGTCATAAAGTACATTTTACTGATAATTCTGTACTTTATAATTTTAAATGGATGACTTTTATTTGCAATTGTGGTGGAAGAAGTATTCAGATCTTTTATTTAGTGAAAGTTGTAATACTACAATGATAAATTTACATTTTAAATTTTACTTTAAAAAGTTCAGAAGTATTATCAGCAAACTGTATTCAAAGGATCAGAATTGAAAGTACTCATTATGAAAATGCCTTAAAATGTATTATTATAATATGGGTAGATGTTATTTATTTCCTAGTGGTTTACAGCTGTTTAGGGGTAGATCATTTTACCAACTTTTTGTACTGTTGTGTAATTTAATCTACAATGCAATGCATTATATTTTAAGAGTCCATTATATGTTTTAAACTATTAATCTGCAAATGAGAATGAGGCTGTTGCTGTACAAATGTAGTGGATTAAAAAGTACAATGCTTTCATCTGAAATGTACTGAATAGAAGCATAAAGTATGAAAACCATGTACTTCAAATTTGTGCTTATGCATAGCACTTGTAAATGTACTCAGTTATTTTTCATCACTATCAGCTTTTGCTGAAGTGAAACTTCTGAATACTGCCAAAACTGAACAATTCAAAGGCTGAAATCATGCTGGGATGATAATTATGTTTTTGTCTCTAAACATGTAGGTCAACCGTAGAGTTGCCAAACAAAAGATTCGTGTTTATGAAGCGAGAGAGATGGGGCCACAGAGAGAAAGATTCCCCCGGCAGAGATAATTAAAGTAACAGAATTTCACACTGAGTGAGCAACAGAAACACTGGCTCAAGCAGACATTGCATCATAATCTTCTTTGATGTTAAGGTTAAGAAGATGAAATATGTTTAACCATACATCCTGTGCATTTGATCACAATTTCTGCCTTTTTTCCTGGCACAGATAAATCAAACTGTCAGCCTGTTCACCAGTTAACTAGATAACCTCAAATAAGCAAGAGCCACTGTTGGATTTTTTGTACTTGGATTTCTGGTATTTTTTGGGGATTTATGTGATAGTAGAGTAGTTGTACACAAGTACAAATGAACAAGTATTCACCACTAAGTGGCGCTACAACACTGGACAAGAGCAAGGTTGGAAGTTACTCAGCATTTGAGGTTCAGTGTAGTTGAAGTTCTAACAAAGATTTCCTTAATACAGTTACATACAGTTCAATAGACCTCAACCAGCCAATTCATTTATGCTTGTTTTGGTTAATTTCAGATAACACAACGTAAAAGTTGTGTCATATTTTATTTAACAAATGCATAGGTCCTTTTCAAGAAATCACTTATATATATGATTTACAGTATGTTAACTGAGATTGGATTCTCTCTCTCGCTCTCTCTCTCTCTCTCTCTCCCTCTCCCACTCCCCAACCGGTTGAGGAATGGCCGCCCACCCTGAGGGAGTTTTTCCCTACCTGTGTCACCAAGTGCCTGCTCATGGTGGGAACTGTCTCTGTTAATAATAGTACAAAGAGTTTGCTCTAGACTGCTGTATATGAAAAGTTCAATGAATTAACTTTTGTTATGAACTATGAACTTACACTTGAATGGAGCCTTCCTGCTTTTACTACTATGACATGTCAAAACGTCTGCTGTGAAAATGGCCATTTATGTGGTTGCAAGTTATACAGTTGAGAACCACTTTTTATTTAAGTTGCAGCTATAGGTGATTAGTCAGTGGCCCCTGTTACCCGTTTCACTGTAATTAATGGCAAGTTTACTATAAAATCAACCAAATTAAACCACTCAGAGCAATATTAAACTAATTCAAAATATCGTCGTATAATGTAGCATAGGTGAGATTTGATATCAGCCACCAGAGACATGCTGCAGTATAGGGCTAGGCGATACAGCCAAAATGTTATCACAAAAAAAAAGTAAAATCAATAAATATTGATTATTATTATAAATGTCAAATAATTATTTCTTGCAAGGCTGATTTTTGCTCCTGAGTGAAAGTTGATCAAACCAGAAGATAATTCGTGGTTTTAAATTTCAAAACTGTTCTTTTTTTAACAAATATGCATAAAAGTAAAAAATATCATGTAAAAATCTTTTTTCAGTCATTTTTCCTAAATATCTTAATAGAAAAATAAAATGCTGATTTTTTTGTGATTAAAATGAATTAAATTGAACATTTGTTATATTTATATTGAAGAAAATTATATTGCAATAAGTATTGTTCGCGTATTATTGCCCATCCCTATGCTGCAGAATATACTGCAAATACTGATGATGATCTAGTGTAGTCCTGTCACAATGGCAGGTTACCAACCAAGTGTTACAATGTATTATGGCCAAACAAGCACACTTTCCACTAACACCTACCCACTGTATATTTCACACCGAGTAATCTTTTTGAGGTGTGACCCTATCTGTTGCTCAGCAGAAAACACCTCAGCATAAGATGTTTGTATTTGTTGCCATAGCACCACCACTTAATCAAATCAAAATAAATCATGCCTGCGTTGTTTTAATAGGATACAAACCTGGGCATTTCCTCCCCTAACAAAGATTAATATCGATCAACATCCATGGAGATTCACTTCAGCAGGGTGGATTTAAACTGACCTCGCCATTTTGGCTGGTGGATGGTGTCCACCAGCCCACTCTTTCAAATTCTACATACTTATAATCGCTTGCAATCACTGACACATGCAGTGGATGTAGGAATGCGGTGACCTCGTCATCAGATGGAGTTGCTACATCATCACACGCCTGTTTCCAATTAGCCGCTTGAGGATCAGCAAAACTGCATGGCTCACTCTGGCTCCACAGTGTTTTTCAGCTAAAAATAGCAGTTCACACAACATAACAGAGTCTGGTAACAAGAATACCCTGGGATTCCTTTTATATGAAGTGGGGGTCAAAGGTAATGGGGCTATAGCCAATAGCTGAGCTTCCTGTTTAAATTGGAATACTTTAACTCCTCAGAGAGGTGTGGGTAGGAGAGGGAATGAGCATCTGTGAGAAGCCCACACATTTCTGGGTCTGATAAAGTCACACTATGTAGGCTGACTGAATGAGTAAGAAAATATCTTTAATAAGGGGGATTTCTGCCTTAAATACTGAAAAGGATTAGAGTCTGAGTCAGTTCTGACTTTAATCTAAGAATTCTGACTTCAAACTCAGAACTCAAATACATTTTTCACCTGTGGCCCTAATCCTCTTCTGTATGTATATTATTATTTTTTGATTGAGTTAACAAATAAAGGTATTGAGTTTCTGTAAGAAATTCTGTAGGAAATTGTGTCATTTTCTGTAATCAGGTAAACGCAGGGTGTCTGACACATGTCCAGCAGCATGCTCAAACATGCTGTGGTAGTGATAGAGGCATAATGCACTGGCGGGCTAGTCATTATCTCGAGTAGTATGACTCACACTCCGTGGCTTACTTTATTCCTTGGGGGCCTTGGAGACACAGCCTGTACAAAATTTCTGCATGCTTGCTTGTGACTGGCAGCGGAAAACTGCACATAGTGAGTGCTGTCTCCTTTTTACTCACTGAAGACAAAACAGCGAACCATATCAGTGGTACAATCTGAGCGCAGTTATGTGTCTGCCTCCTGTGTTGCGAATGGTTTCACCTGAAACGTTAATCCAGACATCGGGGGTTGACTAACCTGCCCCATGATCAACAGCTGAGTGGAGTAAAGTAGTCAGAGGCAAATATAAAGAGACAAAAAAGTCGATCTGAAAAACACAGATAGTTTCTGGCCTCTTTAAACATCTTGCTTGTGTTCGCCTCTCTCTTGTCCTCTTCCCTTATTTGAACAAGAGAGGACCTCTTTCGTTTTCTGATGTAATCTAACCCGTACACAAGTATGAGCTCACTTATACAAATAGCATACAAGCTTGTCGTCATCTCTAATATCTATTCCTCTTCCAATGGATACTCGTTCAATGATGATAGCTGTATTGGTCACATACTAATTCTGTGATCACCCACTCACCCACAGTAACAGTGACACAATTACAGTAGCAGATCCCCACAAATAATGTCATGTATATTTCTTTGTATTTGAAACTTTGTTCATTCAAGTAGACAGGCTGAGATGTTTGAGCTCTTTATGGTGGTTAGAAGTTACAAGGCTTGAGGGAAATGACAACACACAACTGGATGATTAAACACTATATAACTACTACTGAATGTGAGAAAATGTCTAACACATGAAGTCTTGGAACTCAAATTCCTGGGATGGATTGTCTCATTTAGGATTGAATGTTGAAATGAATCACTTAGACTTCTAATAAGTCAAAGCAACCTGTACCATCCAGTTATAGAAACTTGTAGTAACTTATCAGCTCCTGACGTTGCAGACAAAGGCATAGACAGGGGGTGTAGAGATGACTGTCTCATGCAGCCAAAACAAATTAAAGCTTAAAGCTGCAGAGAAAAGCTGAAGAGATGGGGGTAGACTCGAGTGGAAGCCCTCCTCTTGATGTATATATCCTTTGTAGAGGTTTGACTCTGACCAACCAGACATGCATTCACCTATTATTAAGTTGCGGATATGTCAATCCATCCAATAGTTGTCGAGTTATTCTCAAAACCACAAATGTGAACCTTATGATACTGCTGAAGGTGAAGTCAGATGATCGAAAAGTCAATCGGAAACATGAGCTTCTGTACAATTCATTTAGTAGATGTTGAGAAATTCCATGGGTGAATGAAAACTTTGACTGGCTGGTGGAGTTAGATGAAAAGTCAAGCGATCACCGAATCCATTAGTATTCATCCTCTGGGTACCCAGGTGCCATGTCAGGTTCCTGGGTACCTGACAATCCAACCAACAGTTGTGGAAGTATTTTTGTAAAATATTCCAAAGCTGTCAACCTCATGGGGGTGGTTTATCCTCTGGGGACCATGAATGAAATTACAGAACAACCAACACATAACAATAAAGAAGAATTTTAAAAATCCTGGGAACTATGACAATCTGAAACAGGCTTTCAGATTTTTTTTGTTAAATGTCAGTCTGCAACAGGAAGTGAGAAAAGATCATTTGGATGTGACAGCTGTAGAATCTTAGCCTCATCCCCAAACCTCCCTAATGATCAGCAGATTTTACAAGAAATGCAGAGAGCCTGTCAGGTCTTGACTCACGCACACTCCCTTTAAGCAAGCACGTAATAATACAGTCTTGGACATAATGAGGAAGAATCAACAATGCGAAGATTGTTGCCACATACCATAATTCAGCTCTAGACCCACTCAAAATCATTCATTTATTTCAGCATTTTCGAAAGTTCAAGACGAACGAACACTGTACTTAAGACAGATTACAGTTGTGTTTAAACGCTACATAGGCTACAGCTTCTACTAAGTGGGTCTATAGTTTTGGTGTGCAACATACCTTTTCTGATTTTGGATTCTTTCATATTCAATCTTTAATCTGTGCAGTATTTTCATGCATGTACACAACTGTACACACAAACCTGAACACCATATTTTCCCAATTAGGTACATAATAACAGCAACAGTACATAAATCTGTTCCCTATTTCCTGCTTTACAATTTAAGTGGCTGTACTTTTAAATCCCTCTTAGCTGTTTATAATCTACCTATAATTTATTGTTTCTGTGCCCTCAGTCTTCATTTTGTGAACATATAATTAATCATTTTGCCTGCATATGAACATAACAAGTGACATGCAAATACACGCTCTCGTAAAAGTTTGTTTTATTTATTGGTTTTGCTCCTTACTACTTGGTAAGAAACTCTGAAAATAGCTTGCATATTAACAATAAACAGACTTAACTCAAATTTAAATGAAATTATTTATGGTAATAAAAAAAACCCTGCAGAAGTCATCAGGATTTTAGCAATGTAGGTCGAGTAAATGCTTTGAGTTTTGAAGCTGGAAAAGAAGGAGGCCTCTCTGCCCTGGTACTTTTCCTCTCATCTGTTCAACCCGGGCACTTGGAATAACAAAGAACTCGCCTGCTTTGCCAGCTTTGCCCCATAAAAGGATGAGAGAGACGATAGCCTTCATCGTTCCCTTCCAGCTTGTCACAGTGGGGTTTAAGAGGTGGTGGGGGTCCATAATAAATACACATGCATGCATTCTTCACCCCCCGCTCCCAAAGGCACGAATAAACACACTCAAGTAACCCTAATGTCCTGTTTGTTTCTGCAAGAACACCTGCAGAGTATGCTGGGAGTTTAGCTCTTAAAGAAGTAATCACAAACAGGCAGATACACCTACAGATTACTCAAACATACGGTAACAAGCACAAGCCTGCCTCCCACTGCTACCCAGCACATTAATATGCTAAGCAACGCACAAACACATGGCCACTATCCCTCAGTTTTCCAAAACACATTCAGGGGGAAATTTCCACACAGAGAAATATAAAAGAGCGATGGTGGCTGGTTGAAAGCCCTGTTGAGAAAGAGAATGAGGCAAGACGTGAAAACAGAGAGAGGCAGAGCATGAAAGAGAAAAAAGGGAGGGAGAGGCACTGAGGGGAGAAAATGAGGGGGTGTTGAGGAGGAGGAGGGAGTCAGAGGGAATCAGCTTAAGACGGTGAGAGCAGAGGACTGTAGAGACGACACGGTGAAAACAGACAGAGCAGGAACAAGTAAAAAAGGGAGAAGACTTGAAATATCCATCACTATCAAACAGGTACAGTAAACTATTTAGAATACTTTACTTAAGTGACTGTTATCAGAATGGTGTGTTGAGCAGATGCAAAATACTGGAATGGTATGAAATTTATTCCTGGAGATTTATAAAGCAGTAGCATTTAAAGCCATGAGAAAATATTTTCTGAATGTTAGGGTTGTTTTAAAATGAACCAGAGTGGAGATGAGTGAAAATCCATGTGTGCTTTCAGTTCCCACAGAACACATCTGGCTTAGTGCCAGGAGTAATGGATGTGCTGATGGGCTCACCCCAATAGTTGTATTTCTTCTTCCAGCACTTCTCATTTATTTATCTAAAGCTGTTTACAGGATGGGAACTGGAACATCGCAAATGTTTGATTATAGGCAAAGCCATTTCCGAGCCGTAAACTTTGGTAAAATAGCATCCTAGTCAACAAGCCAATGAAAATTGTTTATGTCTTGCCACTCTCAACAAATCTTTGTCTTCTGCACATGAAAAACAGTGAACGCGTTGCATGGCGATTGGATAGTTCGAATCGCTGTGTAGAGTCCGACAAGGACTCTTCGTTTGCCTTTACAGAGAGTGGCTTCAATAACCAGGCCTTGTTTACCAAATCTCTTATCTATAATACCACTGAGTATCTTTGTTACCATGCTTGTTTTTGTCTGGTATTGTAATTAAGTTCTATATTATGGTATCTTTGTTTTGACACAGTGACCACTGCTACAACAACTTCAGCTTCTTTGTTTCAGTTCCTTTATTCCACCTTATTTACACTTTAAATGCCTTGTTATAACTGGCCTCTAGATGTAATTTTAATACACAGAGTCAATAGAGAAACAATGACAAACGAAGGTGTATTTTCTTTCTTAGACTGAATAGATAAACATACTGTTAACATTAAGTGTTAGTGATCTATTCATGGCATTATTTTTCTCATAATTTTTCATTTCTTTCCATAGAGATGACGTCACTCTACAGAAACCTGGCTGTGCTTTTCCTTTTCACCTCGCCTCTCCTCCATTCCCGCCACTACACTCACGCTGCCTCCACATCCTCTCCAGTTACCCGTCCACGGATCATATTCATGACTGACACAGGCTCAGATGATGACTTTGATGATGAAGATGATGACTACCTTGACAACCACAGCTCTCCTCCTGAAGTGCTGTACCCACGGAAGACGACCTTTCTCCAGCAGGCACCGGAGCTCTGCCAATACAACCCCTGTTTGGAGAATCAGGAGCCCTGCGCCCAACATTCAGAAAAGACTGGGTGTCTCTGTCCTGGGATCAGTGGGGCTGATGAGCCTCCTCACGCACCACGCATCCAAATGCTGCTGCCAGTCAGTGAAGGGGAGGACACAGGGAAGATAGAAGTCCAGTGGTGCGCTCCATCTTCTGTGGTGTCCGGGTACAGAGTTGTGATCGAGGGAAGTGAGGGGCATGACCGGGAGTTTAGGGACGTTTCCCGACGAGGTGTGGTCGGATTTTTGGAAGTTGGGACTAAGGTCTGTGTGGAGGCGGTGAACAATGCAGGACACAGCACCCCCTCAGAGTTCTCCTGTAAGCGGTATGACCCTCCTAAAGCTTCTAACCATAATCTGCTGGCCTGGATCATAGGAGGAGGAGTCACCCTCCTTCTACTTATTATCATAGCAGCTGTTCTCCTCTGGAAGTATCAAATGCATCAAAAGGCAAAGAAAGATTCCACTGATGGACTAGGCAACCCTTCTTACAGCAGAGAGGGAACTCTGTGATCCAGACAGGTTCAGCCCAGACAATCTATCTCGGTCTTGAGACAGGGGACACAGCAGTGGTGTAGTCATGATCAAAAGCAAAACAGTTCTGGGGTGTTGTTAGGAGTGATTATAGAATTAAGAAGTTCTTTACAGTCCTGTTTCAAGGAATATGTAAACATACTGGGAGAAATTGGTGTTCATGGAATAACACCAACAAATGGGTAATGCTATTATTTTGTGGTTAGAACTACAGGTTTATTTGCTGGCAAATTAACCATTGTAGGTTTATTGTAGTGTTTTTTTTTATCATGGCTGAATTTAATTGTAAATATTAATATTTTTTAGGATATACTGACTGAAACATTTGTAATAAACTAAAACCTATTTTAATAAAGCTGTGTGAAGTGTCTTTGTTGGATTTTTGCTGTCATTGGAAAGGTTTTGCACAGGCCTACAAAGTGTGTTAGTAAGGTATAGGGCCACCACAAGGAAAGCTTTAATGTGCCTTGGCATCAAGTCTCTGAAACTTTACTGGAGAAATTGAACAACGGTCGGTCCATTATGTCCGATATATTTGGCTTGAAAATTGGAAAATGGTGACTGCAGGGGCTATACAGTATGATTGTCACAATTTCAACACTTATCAAACCATTCATTGACTCCTTTTGGGCTGTATGGGAAATATTGTATACTTAATGCCACTAAATTTATTTGAAAGTGCTTACTTTTTACTTTGCGGATTAAGATTTTACATACAAAACAAATGATGAATTTATAGAATATGATGGATAGGATATAAAAGTGTTAAAATTGGCTGCACCTCGACCAGCTTCAACATTAAAATTACAAGTCAATAATAATTCAATAATACGACAGTCTCAAAAGGGACAAATTTTCATAGTGAGTACTTTTGATGCTTTTAGAATATTTTGCTGATAATACATTCATTTGAACTTTGAATGCAGCATGCATTTTACCTACCATTGTACTATCCCTGCTTGAACATCAGGATCTAAATCCTCCGCCACTGTGTATTATTTATGCAACTTCAACTTCTCAACTTTTATTTTGAAAGTTTTGTAGGCGGTAGTTGATTTTATTGGCTGACGCTGAAGTCTTTCAGGCTAGGTCCCGCCTTCCCTCAGCGTCAAGCCAATGATTTATCACCAAATCCAAGGAAGAAGTCTGTTTTGTTTGGTGACAACGATCATACTTGCAGCAAAGAAGTAGACAAGCAGGATGGCGAACGCAGGTGAGTCTTTTTTCCCACTTCACTCCCTTAGGTAGATATAATTGAACTAACTAACTAGCCCCTTATCAGGATTTTATGATTTAACGTTAATTGAAAAATCCCTGAAGTTGGCCGAGAAACGTTAGTCTCCGCCAAATAGTTAGCTAACACTTGTTTAGCAAATAAATAACTGCATATTTGTTGCTGGTAAAGTTACATTAACAGTGACTATATTGTCACAGACAATCTGCGTTACAGGAGGTCCCTAGTTGTTGCATTACGTTAACTGTCTCGCGCACAGATTTCTCTGCTAATAACGTTACACATTAGATGATGAAACGAGTTGTGGTTGTAAGAATAATATCTTGATTATTCAGAATGACTCAGCAGACGACACAAGTCTTGATAAGGTCAAACCGGAAGATACCTGGATCCTCAAGGAATTCCAGCTGCAAACCAGTTTCATTATTGCATTTCTAAGTAAGTGAAGCAAAACATGATAAGTGTTTGCATACCACAACCTATTTCATCAAAGGCGAGTGGAGGAATGTACCTTTACTCCAAATTTCAGACACACACTAACTCTGTCTCTGTCTGATAAGAATAAGTATGAGTGTCAACATGAGGGAGCGATCTTCTGGAGTGGAATGTACCCTGGAGGTGGAGATGGGCATAAGGCCATCTTTGTATCCTAACCTATTCAGCCATCACCAATATTTCTCTGAGATGCAGTCAAATATGAATGAATAATCAAGTGAAACCAAATGAAAATGTAGCAGTTTGTTGGGTTTTTTTTATGGCAGGGAACATGAGGCTGGGATTACTTTGGCACTGTGACTGGATTATACATCTGATCGCTGTAGCACAGAATTTTAGAAAAATACTGACAAATAAACTGTATTTGATGTGGATCGTATTACATCATGGCTAATACCTGATGTCCTCAGTGTTTTGTGCATCCCTAACAATAAGGCCGTTTTTATCCACTCTTGTACCCCGTCGTGCAGGTGCATGCAGCAGGTGTCATATTACAGGGCTACATAACCCATCATATAAACCGTTGTTGGTTTGGTTTAGAAAGGATGGTTAGCAGTCTATGATGGTTAATGATAAAATCTTGAGTGAAGTTTTTTAATCAGTTGAAATATTTTTTTAAAAGTATGAACATTCAACAATTCCTTATCAGACTTTCCAAAGCCTTAAAAATGTTTTATCTGTCATTGCCAGTTACCAAGGAGATCTCCTATGAGGATCTAAAGGCGCTTCTGGGAAAGAGCCAGAATCTCCTTCTGGTTGACGTTCGTAGCCAAGAGGAAGTGGATAAAGGACGTATTCCAGGATCCATCAGCATCCCACGTGAGCTTCTTTGAAATTCATTTACATGGAGGTGGGAAAGGTTATCAAGGTGAAAATACACACAGTATGTATAATGGTCTCAAACTGAACACTGAATTTTGTTTTTTTCCCCCCCTCAATTGCACCACATCTAAACAATCAGTCCAAAGTGGGTTGTCATGCATACTGGATATGCAGAAGTGTGCAGTGGTGGATAAGAATCAATTTTCTGCAGTCTGGTTTTTTCAGGTTCTGAATGTTTTGCATTAGATGTTATGTCCATCATTTGTTTAATGTTTAAAAAAACACATTCTGCTTCCCTCCCCTATAATCACTCAGTTAATACAGTACAGGCTGCTTTTACAATGGAGTCAGAAGAATTCAAGGCCAAGTACGGAGTAACCAAGCCACCGTTGGACACAACAGAGCTGGTCTTTCACTGCCAACTGGGCAGGCGAGGGGCAGCGGCCACGAGCAAGGCCTACGAACTTGGATACCTTAAGTAAATAAGTTATTGGTTATTGTACATTACACACAGACCCAGTCCATCTTGCTTTTAAACAGACAGCTCAAGTCTCCTACATACTATATAGATCTCACAGTATAGTGACTCCCGTACATTTTAGACCAGTTATGTCTAATCTGTTTCCTCAGAGAGCCTTTGCCTATGAGATTCGTCTGTCTGCATGTATTATTATTTATTGTTCTAAAATGTGTCTCTCTGTCTTCTGTTTCAGTGCACGCAATTATACCGGAGCATACAAGGAGTGGTCTGAGAAAGAGGGAAAGTGATTTGTATTGAAGGCAAAACATCATATATATTTAACATCATATTTATTTATACACCCTGCGACCCGATCCCGGATAAGCGGATGAAGATGGATGCATATATTTATACAAATAACCATTTTGAAAGCTAGACCGACAAAATAGAGAACATTTCTTATGTTGTGTTTATCTTTTGATATGTTTTTTTTTTCCCACTACATCAGAGGTTTTCAAAGTGAGAGGTGGGCCTCCCCAGGGGGAGCATCAGGGGAGCATAAGGGAATGGAAGTGAAAAGTTGTTACATTAGTTATCAAAACGAGTTCTCATGGAATAGTCTAAATGTGTGTGATTTGGTTAAAGAGATAGTTCAGAGATAGAGGAGGGAATTTTTACTTTTTCACCTGCTTTCCCAGAGTCAGAAACTAATAAATGTCTTAGGACAGACCTTTTTTTAAGAATTTGTTGTAGTCTGAAGTTATGTCAAACAAAAATATTAGGCAATCTTGGCTTAATTGTTGAGTGTTTAAATAACATAATCATGATGTCTTGAAAAAGGGCAGGGTGTGAGGGAGGGGGTCTTTTTCCAAGCTTTGTTTAAGGGAGGCCCAGAGTCTCAGGCTTTGAAAATCCCTGCACTACAGCATTGTATTGAAAATGTATGAATAAGTACAAATAAAATAAACAATGTTTTCTACTCAAATGTACATGTATTTGTGGGAATCATTTCATTCCAGAGAGCTTAATATAGAAACATGGAAAAACTAGAGGGGGGACACTTTCTGCATGCTAAATGTGGCTAAAAGCTCAAGAAAAAACTAGAAAGTTGACCTTCAGATATTGTCATCAGTAATTTCTGTAAACAGGGGCGGATTGGCCATTGTGCCGTTCCATTTCAGGCCGAACCGGCCAGGGGTCAGGAGTTTTTATTTTTCAGTTTCTGTTTTACTTTATGATCCGCGACCCCGCCGGCCGGCCAGTCTGCTGCAGCGAAAGCTGTGTCTGATTGGGCCAAACCAATACTTTCAGTATGGAGCAGGTGTACATCCGAGCGGCCCCTCCCGACTTGGACCGATCTTCGTTTTTGCTGAAATCTGATTGGCTCAACAGGTCCGATCAAAGAAGTTTGCTTTCCATCTGAAACACACATACACACTGCTCTATTTTATGGGAATGTATTGTAGTTTTTGAGTATATTTAAGTATTTTAGCCCTCTGACTGACTCAGGCCTGACCTGGTCTTGTTAAGTGCAGAGCTGCCTTACACAAACTGAAGAGGCAGGTGTCATCCTGAAGTTTCTTGAAGGTCTTCAGCATAATCTGATTCACTGTATACAACAAAAATACTAATGCTTATTAAAATAACTGCAAAAAATATTTATGGCCACCCCCCAAAAGGGCGCTCACATAAAAGGCCTCTCCGTCTCAAAGTCCCGGGCTGAATTTCAGTCCCAGTACATCCCTGTCTGTAAATGTTGCGATTTAAATCCATAAGGAGCTGCCATTCTACACTGCACACAGTAGTACAGATTAAGTATATTCATAGCTATTTTTTAGACTAAAATATTGGAACATTTATATATTATACAAATTAATATTTTAAAATTGGCTGTTTTAATGCTTTGAGGAGTTGTGGCTACTGGCCTCAGTAGCCTATTTCTAAAATTCTGCCTATGGTTCTGCATTCAGGTGCTTAATTACCGTAATCAAGTCACAAATTAGTTATTGACTGCCTATTATATTCCTCATCTCACTTGTAAGGTATTGTCAGTGATTTAATAAAATTGCTGGGATATAGGGTGTAGAAAAGTTTGAACATTTGGATATTTAGCAGGAAAATACACAGTGCACAGACAGGCACGTGCGCAATCTCAAAGCCCGTTTAGCGCGCGCACGGCAGGTTGGTTGTGTTAATTTACTGAAGATGGTCAGAGAAATACAGCAGGTAATGGTTTAAATTATGGTTATTCTAGCTATAAATAATGTGTGTATGTGTAAAATGGCTGTTTAATTCACAGATAAGCTCTGCCCGTTAATTGTTTATACAATGGAAACTTTGTTAATCAATCAAGGTTTGACGCTAACTAACATTAACGTTAGCTTTAGCTAGCTCAACTACCAGTTGCATTTTCAACTTCCACTTCAGGTGTTGCGGTTGGTCATGCTATTGGGGAAGCAAAGACAACAGCATGGTTTGAAGACTACAGGAGGGCTTTTGGTACTTCTGTGGACTGAAACAGGAGCTTCTGTTCAAAGTCTAAACTGCACTGGTAAGAAAACACTTGATGTTATCATAAGCTGCTTCATCAGGATGTAACATTACTTAAGTTACTACCAGTGGAATATAAGTTCCCTATTATCCCATTTTGTCAGATAAAAATATCTAAATTGAAACCAAATGTGCTTGAGCAATGATTATTTTGACAGGAAAAATATATACATTTAATTATATGTCAAATGTCAAGAACCTAATAAGTAGTAAAAATGAATTCAAGTGAGCTAATTTGACTAGGAGTTGCAGGCTGAGTTAATTAGATAATGGCAGCTAGTAGCAACAGCTGACTTGCTACAGCAACAAGTAAAGTTATCTGTCCATCAGGGTACTCCCTAAATCACAGTTATGACAGAGCAGCAGGAACATCAGAGAGAAAACCAGAAAGTATTCTTCATCAAATACGATCCAGTTTCCCGCAATATCAGTGAATAAAGTTGTGCTTTCATACAGTAATCAGTGGTGCCTGGTCCCAGAAACACTAATTTTCAGCAGAGTCATAAAAATTAAGAAAGCTTTTCATTGGTCACTAAATTAATACAGGCTCCCCAATGCAGGATGAGTCATGAATATTTTTAAATATTTTTCCAAGAAATGACACACTCTAAAATATCATCAAGAATAGCCTACAAAACAATATTTTTGGTCATTGATGGGCCAGATCCTGCCATATGACGTAGATATAAAAACAGTTAAACATCGATTTTGATTTCATGGGAATGGGATATTTTATTGGTAGGTAGGTAAAAATATTTTGTCAACATACAAGAGGCTTTAAAGTGAAATTGAGTTTGTAACTCCCCTCTGCTACAGTATGCTGAGGATGAATTAGAGCTTGAAAGTCTGATCGCTTAGGTGATAAAACTGCTCTGCATTCTGGTAGTGTGGCAGCAGAAATTTCAATATCTCTTCCCAGAAGGCAGCAGGGTGAACAGGCTGTGGCTGGGGTGGGTATTGTCCTTTAGTATCCTTTGGGCTCTGTGTAGGTACCTCACCTCAGCGATATTATTGATGCTTGGGAGATGGGTACCAATGATCTACTGAGCAGTTTTAATCACCCACTGCATATAATTGTATGTACATTACTGAATAATGTTTTAACAAGTAATTAGTAATTTACTTTTATGTTTTAAGTACATTTAATAGCAATAATCACTAAGGCCTCTTCTTTAAGTTTGTATTTGACATCATACCCTATTATCTCAATATCTCAATTAAAGTACGGAAACAAATGTATATGTGACAAAAGGCAATTTATTATTTATAAAAAATACAGTTGGCTGGTGGATTTTTCCATCTACCAACCACCTTGGCAGGTGAGCCATAAAGTTAATTTCCACCCCTGATATTTAGGCTATGACTATATATATAAATGACACTCCAGGTAAAAATCTGTAAGATATGGTGAAAATGTGTGTATCAGACATTGAATTTCAGAGATATCTGACCAAAAAGTACAATCCATCCCATCCAAAAAAGAGAAATGGGTCACCACAATAAAAAAAGGCATGGTATATGGTTCACTTTGGTGCATTAGTACACATTTATTTGGATTAATTTCAGCCTGTTCTTGATTAATGTATTAACAACGTGAACATTAGAAGGAGATTGTTAACAGCAGCTTTGGATTTCCTTTCTGACATATAGCACAAAATGTAGTTACAGCGTTCACTTTTGTGTTGCAGTGGCAGCTGCTGGTCCCTGGTGCATAGGGATAAAAATGAAAAGACTCCAATCTGGTATGTACACACACACAACATATATGCAAGTCCTTCAGCTTTTGTTCACTGCATCACCTCTTTTTTGCTACGTTAGTCCTCACAGATTTAAAAGAGACCATGTTTCCTTGTGCGTGGCCGTGTTCTCTGCCTGACCCTGAGGAGCTGTGTGCCTTCACAGATCTGTATGGTTCCCTCAGATTTCTCCTGTCTTTTCAGGTACAATCAACATTGATCCTTTTCTAGCTTTTTATTGGCCTGAAAAATAATGAGAGAGTAGACTGACAGATATTATAGTAAATTGCCTGTGTGAAGAATGTCCCAAGATATCTGGGTGGTATCACTTTACTTATTTTTCTGACTCTTAGTTATTGGACCAAGATTACTTAAATCTCAATTCCTAATACTACACTGAACCCAAAACACATTTAATTAAAAACAATTTGGTGTAACACTTTACAGTATAATAGGGCCTGCAACATTCAACATAATTCTTCTGAATTTGTACTAACAAACTGTAGGTACTGCTAGTTACAAGGGAGCAAGATGAGTTAAGTAAGAAGTTAAGGTATAACATTTCAGAACTTTGGCTTCTTCTGGGTTTTGTACTAAAACGTGTGAGGAAGTCACAACACCCGGACAAAAAAACCTGCACAGGCAGAACATGCAAACGCCACACAAAAAGGTTTGAACCCAGAACCTCCTTGTTGTGAGGTGACAGTGCCATCCACTGTACCACCATGCCGTGCCATCCCATTACAGTGCAAGTTGTGTTTAAAATCTCCCCAAATGTCAGATTGCTGTTCGGTAGGTCATACTGGAGCTTATAATATTAAAACATGTACATGTTAGTTAAACATAATGCCTACTATATAAATAAAGTTCCCGCGTAGTTACCTCCTTATTCCAAAACATCACATCTTGTTCCCTTGTAAGCTACCTGTACGTATCGATACTTCCTGTATTGGTACAGGTACCTCGTTAGTACGAATAATTACACTGTAAATTGGGAAGAATTACACTGTACATGGAGGCCACATTTTCTTTCATTTAATATATTTCCTTTAAAGTGCGATTCATGACAGTGAGCCTGTGAGTGACACGTCATCCCTGCATGTATCTTTGATCTGTACAGATGAAAGATGTGAGACTTTTCAGTCCAGAGTGGTGTGCTCGTATAGAAGCATTCCTACACGCATTCAGTTTGGCTAACGCAAGGGTAGGATCTGTTTCTCTCTGACATGCAGTATATCCACAGTACTAATTTAAGGTAGGTAGCAAAAATCTGATTACCGTTCTTCTTCACAGATCCAAATCCACCTCAAATTCAAATTCAGTCAGCAGACGTTCCTGCGAGAGTTTAGGTATGACAACTATGCAGGTTTTAGGAATGAATGTATCTTCTTTTGAAATACCCAATGTATTCTGCAGCGATATATGCAGTCGCTCTGTATCACACAGAATTGGTCAATTTAGTTTATAAACTATGTGTTTTTTGGAAGTTGCATAAGCATATAAAAATAAAATTACCCTCAGACACACAGACTGCAAAGAGGTAGATCAGATTTTAATGATAGCTTGCTATGTTTTGTCTTTATGAGTTACAACACAAAACAAAAAGGCTCACTACTCTAGTTAAAGTGCTATGTCCTATGTTATGTTCATATTCTTGTAGAGGGAAGATCAAGAGTAAAGTTGCATGGGCGGACCAACCCTCACTGATCTTGGATGTCACCTCTAGAATACAGTCAGTAATACTGTTTTTAATATTATTTACTGTTTTGCTTACTTTTAGTAGAAAAATAATAGAACCCAATATTTTTTTTTTTATTGTATCTTCATCTATTATGCTATAACAACATGTTGAAAATATTAGGGCATATACAGGTATGTTTACTGTTGTTTATAGCAAGTGATACTCTCTTTTTGGGTTTAAAGGCCTCCAGAATGGGTGAGGAAAGGACGCTGGTGTCAGGGAGGACACCCTATCCTTGGAGACAGGGTGCCACTCAGTATCCCACCTGAAGCCATGGACCAGGGCCTGTTTGGGGAGCTCACCATCCAGCCTGTCACACTCCTGAGCCCCTGTGTGCTGCAGTACCCCAATCTGGCAACACAACTCACTCACATACAAATATCCTTTGCTGATTCAATCTCATACTGTGACTTTGTGAAAGCACTGATGTAGGTCAACTCTTCCAAGGCTGAGGCCGTGGTACTCCCTTCAGATTGGGAGTGAATCACTGCTCCAAGTGCAGGAGTTGAGTGTGAGGGTCGTGTTACGTTCGAATAAAGCTGGTTTGTCCAAAATGTCGGAAATCAAATTTGTTTATTGTTGTTTTGGCAAACATAGAATGTTGTTTAAATGTGGGGATCTCTGGGGGCCGGTCCTGAAAGACATTCATAGTGTGGCACTCGGTCGTTCACATGAAAACTAACAGAAATAGTTGCATAACAAATTTTAAAAAAGAGAGCCAGAGAGAGAAGACCAAATCCAGCTTACTTTCTCACCGGACTGTCCTGGGGAAGAGGGAGTCTTTTGGGTAATAACCAATAGAGTGATCACAATGCAAACAATCACAATGAGTTGTCTTCGCAGGGCGGCTGGGCTCACAGATAAGAGAGCGAGGAGGGATCATGCATCTTGGGAAACTCAGAGAAGAACCGCTGATACTTTGTGTTGACTCAGTTGAGGTGGTTTGGGCATCTGGTTTGGATTAGTCTTCCTTGACTTCACATTTGTCTAGGTGTTGGTATACAGCCCCAGTAATGTTCCTATCGCAAGCCCCTCAACCTTCTTCCTGAACCTACCTGCACATCTGGATTGTCAGGAACTGGGCTTGCAGGGCCTTCACTGCTCCTCCATCAAAGGTAGACAATAACCACAGATACTGATGGCCTGGATACATTGTAGGTCTTTTGCTAGAGGAACTGTAAGGGCTGGTTTTCTTTTGAAAAGGTGTAAATTGAACCAGAAGTAGGTCCCTAGGCCAGGACAGTTAATCCTGTCCTAAAAAAGTGAAGTTATGTAAATCTGGATTAATTGTTTCCTGATGTTAAGGCCTGAGTTGAAGAACACTAATGTCAACCACCTGTGTTTATTTGTTAGAGAATGTACACACAGTTCTGGCCTGCAGCTGCTCATCAAAAACTTCATTGGATCACAAAAAGCCCATAATATGAATCAGAGTATTAAAACCAGGCAACAATGGAATAAAAAGGCATAACACGCACAGAACACAACAGAAATGTTTACCACACTGCAAATGTAGGCAGTGAAATTATTGTCACAGCATTTTATAGACTTGTCCCCTTTAAATTACATCCACATGCAAAACATCTGCAATAGTAGTTCATTGCAACTGATGTAAGTAGTAGTGTTGAATTCGCATTCGCAAAAATAAAATCTCACCGCAAAGACTTGGGGTGGAGAAAGGGTTTACAGTGTGTGTTACTTTAAAACTGGAAGCACATGTCTCTAGAAATCAGTGTTTACGTTTGTCATATTTAACTTTGACCATGATGTTTCCCTGACCTTTACTAGGTGGGTTTAGTTGCCAACATGTAATGATACCGGGATGTTTTAGTTTCCACAAACTTTTAAAAAGTTCACCATGTGATCAACATTAGTGTTTTGTCTGATATGTTTAAAAAGGACAATCTGGGCGACATCACATACATTTCCCCCCAAAAAAAATTTCACCTGCAAAATACCAGCACATTTCTTCTGAGAATTTGATTTGTACATGCAGATGTGGTTTGAAGACAGATTTCATGAAACTTATTGAATGTGTTTCTCATGTCGAAGTATTAACAAGCAGGTGGTTGGTCTCCAGTAAAATTGTCAGCCTTTCTTAATTTAATTATGACTTCTTGACTTTTTAATTTAAGACTTTATTTAACCCTGTAGTAACTTGAGATTTTCCTTCAGGCAGTCAGTTCAGTTAATTAAAATTGAGGCTAAATCTGGGATTCTTCTAAACCATGTGTGAGAGAGCAGATTTGAGCTGGCCTGTTGTAAATGGACACTTTCCCAGCGCTACGCTTATTCTTCAGTAATTAGTCACTGCAGGACAGTTATGTGCAGTCATATCATGATAAAATTAAAAATGTATTTATTTCTCAGAAACAGTTCTTGCTTAATAAGCGTTTCTTTTCTTTGTAGATTTTACAATGAATCACAACCACAAGCAAAACCACAAGTCTACATTAATTACATGTAGCTTATTCATTCACAATGTAAACTGTACCGCAGTCTGCTTCTTTGGAAGCGTCTTTGGATGCTGGAGAGAAGATCCTCTGTCACAAACATGACCAGACTCTGTAAGCATTTGTTAACTCTTATAACACTTAAGTAAACAATTTTTTAAACTAGAGCTGTTATACTTGCCCAACCCAAAGGTGTGTCTTCCTTTACCACAGTGTTGCGCACATGTTGTGCTGGTTACAACCCACCGCTGGACCAGTGTGCCGTTGACCAGTGTAGACTTGCAGTGTATTTACTGTTTAAAGTGGAGATCTTTTACTTAAGTTAAAGTAGCAATACCAGAGTGTAGGAATCCTCTGTTACAAGTAAAATCCTGGATTCAAATTTTTAATTATGTAAAAGTATGAAAGAATAGGCATCAAAATATACTTTAAAGTACCAAAGGTAAAATTACTCATTATGCATATCAATGGATTGTAATTATGTATGCAAAAGGTGGGGCTAATTATAACTACTTTATCTGCTGGGTAGCTTGCAAATTTCCCCCTGGGGATCATTTATTTGTTGCTTATATGTTGTAATATTAATCTGAATACAATAACAAGTAACAAAAATAAAATAAACAGTGGAGTAAAAAGTACAATATTTGCCCCCAAGATGTAGTGGAGTAGTAGTACTATAAAACAGCAGAAAATGAAAATACTCAAATAAAGAACCTCAAAATTGTATTTAAGAACAGTACTTACAAATAAATGTAGTGTAGTAAATGTACCAAGTTAGTGTTTTAAGTGTTTTAACATTCCCTGCAGATCTTGTGCACAGCGGTGTCTCTGTATACAGTGTAGAGCAAGAAAATGGTGAGGGTCAAGAGCAAGAATCAAGTTTTTCCTCTGTGCAGCAGAGTCTCTTGCTTTTCCTCTTCCTGCAGCACAGTGACCCGTTCACCTGCCAGCTCTCCGATATTATGGGTGAGAGACAGATGCATGTATAATCACAAAATGATGTGTTAAAGTTGGTCGGTCTTAATTTTTTTCTGAATCTGTGATCCTCCTGCAGCCACAGAGGCGCTGATAGAGCACCACCTGGAGGATATTCTGAACAACAACAGGCAGGCGGTCACAACAGCCCTGCAGACTGAGCTGAAGAACGCACTGCAAGTCCAAAATCTTAGAAACAAGGCAAGTCTGTCAAAAGAAAAAGTCAACACAAAGACTTTAACTGTAAATGTTTAAATGTTTTTTTTAATCATCTGGAGTTTTTTTCTTCATAATTTTGAAAAAACAAGACGTGAAGAGAAGGGAGATTGTAATAGTTTTTCATTATTGTCTGACATTTTATCATTAATTAATTGTTTAATTGAGGGGGGAAATCAATACATTAATGAAGATTGATTTGTGCCCTAATATTGAGTGTTTGGGTGTTGTGTTTGACATGTAAGGACCAAGAGAAGCTGCGTTCAGCTGCTGAGGTGATTCTCAGTTCGTCCATCAGTATTGTGAGCTGCAGCAGTAACATGAACTTCAGAAATGCCTGTCTGAACAGCATGAAGGTGTGAAAAAATCTATTTTAAAAATGAAAATGCAGATATTTATAGTTAAGTCTAAAACAAGAGTTATTCACTTGATCATTTGACAAAAGACCCCACACGCAAAGATGTTATCAGGTTATGTGCTACAGTGTAAATTGACCTGTTGTACATGCAGGGGTATACTGTAGATGTTTACATGTTGAAAGTGTGACAAAAGTCAGATGTGCATCCATAATGAATGTGTTTGTCAGGCGTGTGACACTCATGACCTGTCAGACTCCCTCCATGAATCCCTGAGGAGGGTGACATCATGGAAATTCATTCCCAGAGCCAGGTGCTTTTCAGCTCAGGTGAGTGTTTGTTGTTCCCTGATGCCAACAAGTTACTATATCAGTGGTCTGTACTACGAAGCAGGGTAACTGGCTTATCCAGGTAACTTCAGGAGTAACTTCGTGATGTCGGGTTAACCTTATCTTCCCGGTTAACCCGTACTACGAAAGGTGAATAGGTGTTAACCGAGGTCTGTTGCCATGGCAATTTACCCCGCATCTCTAAACTGCTCCAAGCAGGTTTTGTTTGCGGTAACACACCACTTCATAAAATATGTTTAAATTTCATCCTGATTTGTCCCACTGCGGTTGGAATGAAGTTCTGAACACAAAAGCATTACGTTCAGACAGCGAGCCCTGCAGCCTCGGTGATTTTAGAGAGGAGTCTTAATTAATTAAGGGGATAGTTTCTTAGATGTAGCCCATGTAGTCTATAATTGAATTCTTCTAAGTGTTTTCACTTATTTAGATAGACTATTTTACCTGTCCAAAAAATAGGGAGCCAGGGTGGGGGTTAATAGCCAAGAAAAAAAAATCCTAGATGAAAGTGTGAAATTTACAAGAAGAAAAACTTTGTCATAAAAAAAATCAAAAACCACTCTGGTGTTGTCGTCTGAGTACGCCCAATCCACGGCAAAGTCTCTAAGGTGCATGATAATATATTGTGGGCTAAACTCACAAGTATTTCCTCACTGCTAAATCCTATTGCAAAGTTTAATATAACTTTCCAACGCATACTACACGGTAGATGCATGTCTGTGATGTTGCAGCCTTGCAAAGTGAAGATTCTCTCATAAATGTGTGACTATAATGACAGAGAATATTTAGGTTTTTACTTGTAGATTGGAAATAAATTTTTGTCTCGGATTATTACCCCTCTCCGCTGGCTCCTTTTTTTCTATTACAATGGACCTTATGTGCAGTTGTACCTTTACATCTTAATCAATTACACATAAAAGAAGAGCACATAAAAACATAATAGAGAATTGAACTACAATACAAACACTGTGAAGAGAATTAGGCTACAAATTTACTTAATGCGAAGCCAACAAGCTGCCCTTGTGTTGTCGTCCGCCACGATATTTAGCTGTTAACTTGTCTTTACATTCATAATTTCCTGACACTACCAGTGTGCATTCCTCTGGAGAAATACGGAGCATACGCCGTTGCGAAAAAACTCTACCTGCATGGCCGAACACACCCCTTTTATGTGAACGCGAACCTACTCCAATTAAGTTAACACCAGGTTAACACGGACTCAAGTAACCAACATCTTATCCACCGTCGTAGTACTGTTTGACCCCAGTGTAGGCAGTCAGAGTTTGCCAACCCTGAGTTTGCCTGATAACCATGAGTTAACTCTGAGTAGGTTGAACTCCCTTCGTACTCCAGGCCACAGCACTTTACTGCTTATAGGCATCTGATTTTAACACGTTATCTAATTACTTTTTCACAGATGGAAGAACATCCTGAGAGTGATGAACCCACCAGAACAGAAGTCTGAGAACATCTGTGTTCTGGGTGAAGAGTGTGGAAGTACTTAGACTGGAATTAATGTTGTTGCAATTTAAAGTGTGATAGAAGTTCATGTTGCAAATGTACTGGTGAAAGAAATAGCTATTTCATTTGTGCATTGTTTAAATTATAGTTTGTGTGTTGCACCAGATGTGATTGTTTTTTAACACAGTTGTAAGATAGAAAATGTTCCAAAAGAGATCTACCTTGAACTCGAACTTCTGCTGTTTTTTTCTATTATTTACCCCTAAATAAACAATATGGTACAATTAGCATCTTTGAGTACTTAGGAAAGTGCTATAGGAATCTAATTTATTATTGTTATTATTATTATTATTATAACATGAATGTCTTTACAATATAATGCACTTCAATGTATGCGTTCTTTTTGAGACTGTAAGCTTGCATCATATTGTTCTGTAATTCTGTTGTTTGGTGGGTATGAAACAAGAAAACCTGGGATAACCAGACTGGTAACATGACAACATTTACAATATACAGGCCGGAGGGCTGAAAGCAAATAAACACTCACTCGCTAGGTGGCGGTGCAGGCCTTTATTTTTGTGGCTCTGTAAACTTCCGCCTATTAGTGTTTTGGGATGTGACGTAAGATCCGGCCGCCAACAGCGACAGCACTTTTTCGCGGTAAAATGAAATGAGCATATGATGTTGATCAGATTTATTCTAATCTAACGTGTAGCTAATTGTTGGCTAATAGGCAGTGTTTAGAAATCGTATTATTAAAGTGAATTAGGTTTTCGGCGTTGCTATGAAGTGGGAGTATAACTAACGTTAGCTACTAACATATCACCAAAACATTACCTTACTACATATCTAATCTAACTGAGTAAGAACAGCGTGCAACAATGGCACTGGTAACCGGAGAGAGCCTATCTGCAGAGCTGGACATGTTCGACATAGCCTGCCAAGATGAGTCGGTCCTCGACAAGAGTAAGTAGCTAACACCTGCTTATGGTCATGTTAGCAAATGTAGCTACGAATGCGTTATCTAAACCACAACAACCACCCAAATAGGCAGCGAGGGGTAATGTTGCGTGATTGTATGTACGTTACATTTTGACAGTCCTGTGTGATGTTTAGTTCCTATCTGGTTTTAACATTAAATTGTGATTTACATGCACAGTTCATGTTTTGTAATGGCTTTTATCAGTTCTGCTATTGGTGCTTCGTCCTATTATATGTTCTGTCTGCCCTTATTTGTTTATTTCAATACCTAAATTTACATCAGCCTGTGACTGCAAGTGGAACATTTGCATCGCATTAATATTAATTAGTGTATACATACTGTATGATACATTCATAAAGTAAAAATAAATAAAACATAATAAAATTATATTATATTGAATTCTAACTATTTTATGTGCATCATATCTGTGTACCAAAATATCTGCGATCATTCATATCTTTAATTTAGATGTGCTTAATGCAGAGCATCATTAGTGTAATCATAAGACACATTTGAGAAATATTTGCACTACAGTTATGTCTGCAGAAATTCTCCTCCATTGCTGATATACAGAATTATTTTCATTGCTGTAATGTTACACAATGTACTGTATTTGCAGTCAGCTTATTGTTACATCTCCCTTTTTACATGCTGTCTTTCCTTTCCACCATGTGTCTCTTGTCCCTCAGTGGTGGAGCAGTGTATTTGCAACAGGATACAGGCAGATGAGATGGTGCTGGAGTGGGTGGCCTACAGCACCACCAAAAATGGACTAAAACTCACTACTGACACCCTGGAGCAATTTGAACATGAGGTAACAGGAACATATTTTTAAAATGAGTCATGATATAATCAATACATTTCTTTTTGTATTAGAAGCAAGTGTCATATTGATATTGCTTTGAGCTTGACCCTCTGTTAATCAATATATTGCCCTCCCTGTCGGGCTGGACACCAGTTTTGTATTTATAGTGTGTTCATTTTCGTTGCAGGTGTTAAACAAGAAGAATAAATCCAAACAAAGCTTCAGAAAAGAAGAAATTCACAACAGAACCAGAGACATCCACTCAATACAGGACTTGTATCCTTTACAGTGAACTCTCAGAACAAAAAATTACACATGACAATCCAGCTGCTCCTTTTTCTGCATTTATGTGTCACAAGTGTCCAGTAATGCCACCATGTTACAGTCCTTAACGTGATTTCTTCAGAATCAAAGCTGAGGAAGAGGAGGAGGATCTACTGGACGCCTACTCTACTCCTGCTAAGGTAAGCTGTCACTTTTGACTTCAGACAGTGTTTTTGTTGAGATATACACATTTAAAGCCAAATGAACCAGGCGTGACTCACTTGCTGGTCCTTTAGTGTGAGTCACTTGTGTGCTCTGCCTTGATTTTGTGTGTTTGTGTGTAGGGCTCTCAGAAGCGAGCACTGACCACTCCTGAACACCCTCATTCAAAAAGAAGTGCAGCTCTGCTAAACAGCCCGGGCCTGCTGCTGTCTCCTGCCAGCTTTTCTCCCAGGTACTTTGCAACAACACAGACCAACAGTCAGTGAGCTGCTGGAAACCAGCACCAGTATGCTTTCTGGTTATATGTGTATACTTATGATTAAGTCTCGGATGAACAAAGTAGAAAACGCCTGCTTCTGTGGTGATTTGTTGTTTTGGGTTTTTTTGTGTGCAATTTTCTGTATTAATATTTAATTTATTACAATGAAACTTTCTTTTATAGTGACTTTATATATAACTTTTCAAAACAAAAATTAAACAAACATCGTTTGTATAATAGTGGTATGAAGCCAAAAATGCAGGCCAAAATATTGAATTCAAACTGACATTTTTGTTAAAATGGATTTTCATTCTTTTCAATTGGGGCCATTAACACTCAACTGAATCACTTGTTAAGAGGGACACACATTGCGCTATGACCTTACTCTGCCCTTTCCTTCCAACTCTCATTTTGGAAGTTTAACACCATCACAGAAGTACAGCCAGCGAGGAGGGAAGGGGGAGGTGGTGGTTACATTTGGGGCCGTGCAGGGTACCCGCTGGGCAGGCAGGAAGACTGTGTGCGCAGGCGTCCAGCTGGAGCTGCTGGACGGGCCTGAAGACTCCCTCCGCTGCAGCTACAAGTACATGTTCCAGAGGTTGCGCGATGTTCGAAATGGTGAGAGGCAAAAACATAAGAGCCTGCGTTGTTGTTTTGTATTTTTCAAGTGAAAACAGTCAGTGTCCGCTTGTTCCTTTATTTACAGATGTGGTGGACATTCATACATTTCTCCCCTTAAATTATAATTGAAACAGGTTCCCTTAAATGTATTGATGCAAAAACATAACAGTAATTGTACACCCTGCCCAGATAAATAGAAACCGGACACGTGATTACACATTATTTGAAGTTCTTTGCGTCTGTTTTCTTCAGTGTTGACAGAGAAGATCGAGGAGCTCGGCGAGGGCCTCAGGTCTCACTTCAACATCGAAGAGTTCTCGCCTGTGTCTCTGCCCGCCCAGGTAACATCATGGATATCTTATAGTTATAATTTAATATTTTACTCAGGTTTATTCCTGACTGGAAAGCTGATCTAATTAAACATAGATGCAGGAAAGTGTTGAATACTTATCTTGTCTAGTTATTACTAGGAAGAATATGGCCTCACTATGTACTCCACATCTGTTAGTTTAGTATTATGTGTGAATTAAATGTATTTGTATAATTAAGTATTACCTGACTGCTGAGTTTGGTGTATTTTATATCTCTACACCTGTAGGACAATATAACAGTGCTGGGTCAGGTTTGCTGCGACAGCAATGGCAAACTGAACGCACATTCAGTTCTGTTGGAGGCGGGACCAGAGCAAGGGGGTCAGCAAGTACCCGTTGACCTATCAGAGCTTAAAGAGTACTCTCTGTTTCCTGGTCAGGTGAGCAAAAGGAAATCTCTTGTCTTGGCATATCAAGCTACAGATGGGTCTGCTTTGAAAGTCTTTTAAACCATATTTCTTGGTTATGTTTATTTTTTTAATGCACAAATTGTGCAGCTCCCTGTTACTGTTTACCCACTTCCTCCCATTTCTGCTGTGTGTTCTGTCATTGTAAGTCACTAAACTAGAGTGCATTGTGATTTCAGTATTAGAAGGTGGTCTCTCCTTTTCCTGTGCACCGAGGTGTGTGTGCAGCAGGTTATACGGCCACCAAGAGTAACAGAGCATGCCAAGGACCTGGGCAGGAGGTTCCCCCAGCGTCTGACCGAGAACTCTGACAACCGTTCAACAATTGCCACATAAGCATAAATAACCGCATGCCTGTTGTGTATAAAATACTTTGCGGGATGCATTTAGTTTCATCTCCTCGTCTGTTCTTTTTCCTCAGGTGGTCGTGATGGAGGGAATGAACACAACAGGAAGAAAACTGACAGCTTCCAAACTCCATGAGGTCAGCTACAACTAAGATTCACTTATATTGTTTCAAAATTCAAATGAAGCGGTTCAGAGTATCTCAACTTGTAGAACTCGGGGCTGTTTGTGTATCTTCTGTTAAGAGTCTTGTCTTTTTTTAGGCAGTCCCTCTTCCTTTCTACACTTCTGAGGTGAAAATGGAGATCGATGAAGGTAAGAAATGATGTTAGCTCTGTATGTATAGAACACTTTCTTTAAATAAATAGAGTGAAATTTATCCAAGTACTTACTTAAAACTTTCAACTACAATACCAGGAGTGACTGTGAAGTCTGCTGTGTCTCTTTCATGTTAATTGCATACACACTAATCATGATTGCAGAGCCAATGAACGTACTGGTGGCATGTGGACCATACACTCCCTCTGACAGTCTGACTTTTGACCCTCTGCTGGACCTAATCAGTATCATTGTCAGGGATCGTCCTGATGTCTGCCTGCTGGTACAGTGTATTTACTTGCTGTATCACAATGAGTAGTTCTTGCACGAACAGGTGGACAAACAGACATGCAAAAAGGCTGTTTTGTTCTGTCACAGTTTAGAAGATCAACAGAAAGTCATTTTATGTTTGGGTTGTTCTAATTCTCCTTTCTCTTCTCTAGCTCGGCCCATTTGTGGATTCCAAACATGAACAAATTGAGGTGGGGTTAACAGCGGACACGCTCAGTTTTTGTCCTTATTATTACTCCTTTCCCAGAGTATGAATGCTCCTAGAGCTAATGTTTGGTATTTTAAAACAATCCAAAGTCACAACATGGGATTATGAATTCCTTTTTGTTCAACATATTCATCGCTTGTGGCCTGCTCTTCATATCAAGCTGGTTGATCACGAACGCATGTGACCATCTCCACCTGTTTATCAAATAGAAAGCCCAGGTGACTGAGACGTTTGAGGCCATTTTCTCAAGATGTATCGAAAGCATTGTGGATGGCACCAAAAGGTATGTTTCATGACTCCTCTAACTGAGATTCCACCATGTACAGTAAGCTTGATTAAAGAGATGTGTTTTCTTCATGGTACTCTTGTCATGTGACAATGTGGTTTCTTTTATCCAGTGTTGGCTGTCGCCTCGTGTTTGTGCCCTCCCAGAGAGACATCCATCATCATTTCATCTACCCGCAGCCTCCCTTCACTCTGCCAAACCTCAGCAAGGACCAGGCCCAGGTCGGACACACAAAGACCTGACTTTAGGAGTGTATATGTAAACTGAGTAAACGGATGAGCAGATAAAACAGGCTTGTGAGCAGTCATGGCAAGCCTTGTTGTAATTTGGTAGTTTTAAATCTTGCATTTGCAGAGTCACTAGTCTTAAATTAGATAATGTAGCAAGTTTTTTTCCAAATATAAAGCTGTCAGATTAGAGCCCCAGGTCTGACTCGTGTCTCAAGTTGTGTGACTTGAGTCAACACCTCTTTCAGAAAGGTTATCAAGCAGAGGAACTAAGAAAATTGTCTGTTTAGTCAATAGCGAAATGCACATTTACACATCGTGATCAGTCTTACATAGTGTTCCTCATCACACTCTGCAGCGTGTCACCCTGGTCCCCGACCCCTGCACCCTGCTGATTGACGGCGTGACCTTCGGCTTGACGTCCACTGACATCCTGTTCCACATGGGTGCCGAGGAGATCAGCTGGTGGGGAAGCTTTCTAATTTTCACACACCTTCATCCAGAAGTTGAGCTCAGTTAGAATTGAATTTGAGGGCTAAATTTCTACGGGGGTTTACTTAAATACCAGAACCAGCAGCTGCTTTTAGTATTGATCTGTATATTTCATTGTTTTGTGTTGCAGTGGCATTGGATCAGACAGATTTTCACGCATACTGAAACACATGCTGACCCAGAGGAGGTAGGAGTCCTGAAGAAGTTCACTTGTTCTTTCTGTTCTGAAGACGCCCAACATTAATGATCTCGTTTTCACTGTACAGTTACTACCCGCTGTACCCACCTGTGGAGGAGGTGAACATGGATTATGAGAAGTTCCAGATCTTCGGTCAGATGCCGATCACCCCCGATGTTCTCATCATTCCCTCTGAGCTGCGTTACTTTGTCAAGGTACAGAACAAATTTAAATTTTAACATCCTAAATACAAACATTTAGTCCAGCTGTTGATTCCAGTATTTTGATGCAAACTCTTAAGATTGGCTTTTTTTTGTTGTTGTTGTTGTTGATTATTTACACACTACGTCTTTTAAAATGTCATCTCCACCCATCCTCAGGATGTGATCGGCTGCGTGTGTGTCAATCCTGGACGGCTGACCAAAGGCCAGGTGGGCGGGACCTACGGCAGGCTGCTCATACAGCGCAGTGCTGCATCAGAAGACGGAAAGAGAGTGAGTCCCTGTGTGGCTGCTCAGGTGGTGAAAATCTAAAAGAAAATTAAGACTTGAATGCTCGTTGTCAACAGAAATGAGCTGAAGTAACCAGCAACCAGTTTGCAAGTAGCTTTGAACGCTGCACTCTGCAAGCCTGCTTATGTAAATGTGTTTAAAAAAAAAAATTCACTGTACTGTTGAAACCATCTTGCCCATTGATTTCTTTTTATATGACAAGTCTGCTTGGTGGTGGAATATCTGTCACAACAACAATCTGTTTTCAATAAATTATTAGCCTCCTTTCTACTGTTTTTAGTACTGTTCTTTTACAACTACTAGAGTGCTGTTTGCCAGTGCATTATATCTGTATCTACGGTTCTGACTGGAGGAGAAAGAAACCTGCTTAAAGTCCTGTTTTGTAGTTAAAATTGCTGTCCAGAAATAAGATGAATAATTGTTTAATATTTATTTAATGTGGTGGAGTTTCAGGTGAGCTATGCTTTATTTTTGCATGGAAATTACTCAACCCATCATTCTCAAATCAACTGCCAGAAAACCAAACAATCAGCATTACCATCAACAGTTTCAACTCCTTTTTTTTAATATAATACTCTAATACCTGATTCTAAGTGACTAAGGTAGGGATTTGTACTTTTATTCTGAAGGTGTAGGCAGTTTAGACCAACACATTTAGTCATAAAAATGGTCAAACTCATCAGAGTCACTTGGGTTATCAGTCTTCGTTGATTTGTCCAACTCCACTTGGAAAATCTCCACCTTGTCACAAAAAGCTGGAAAAGAAATTGAATGTGGATCAAAGTCAGCATCTTCAACAACATGTTTTGTGTATATCCAACCCAGCGTGTGATTGTAATGACGGGACGGTACCTTTAGGTTTCTCGTGAGCTCTCAGGTCCTTTGCTCTGAAAATATGTTTAAAGAAATATGTGAGAAGAGTATTTCAGGATCTAGGTTTTGCCATGAGAGATGTAAAAACACAGTACTCACTCTTTTTTCTGTGATTTTTGTTGAGGTGCTAGTAGATGCTCAACATCATCCTCATCGCTGATCTCATTTGAGTCACTGTCAGAGGATCCTGTTTTACTCCCCTCTTCCTCATCATCTTCCTCATCTTCGCTTGCCGCCTCAGGAATAATGTGCATCATTTTAGATCTGTGAACAACAGATACACAGTTCAGGTGCGGTCATTTGCAAGTAAGATTCTTTCATTATCTTACTTGTCCTGTGGTGAGATGATGCTGTCCTCTGAATCTCCTCCCTCCTCTGGTTCTCCTGCTTCGTCTCTTCTCTGCTCCTCTTCCTCCCCCTCCCCTCCTTCCTCCTCTTCATAGGACTCCCCCTCCTCCTCAGTTTTTTCCTCGCCTCCTTCGCTCGCGTCCTCGCCCACCTCTTCATCCTGGGAAGATGCGGGACCCTGTTTCCCTTTCTCACCGCCGTCACTCTTCAGCCTCTCTGACTCCTCCATCTCTTCCTCTGCTCCTGTCTCCTCTTCTTCCTCTGTTGTATTCTTTTTTTCAGAAGCCTCATCGTCATCTTCCACATCTCTCTCCTCTTGCTCGTCATCTGTCTGATTGTTCGCTTTTTCTTCACTGTCATCTCCTTCACCGTCTCCCAGATCTTTCTCACGCTCCTCCTCATCCTCATCTCCTACACTGCTCCTCTCCTGCTTTTCTATTTCATCTCCACCTTCATTTTCAATCTCTAAACTTACACTTCCTGATTCCTCCTCCTCCCTCTGGGCGCCTGACTCCTCATTACACCGCTCAGATTTGACATCAGAACTTTGATCCCCTGCTTTTCCACCCCTGGATTCCTCAGTTGGACTCCCCAGCTCCTCACCAGACTGAGTCTCTTCTTTGTGACTCCCTGAGTCATCTCCATTGCTCCTGGTCCTTCCTTTTGTCTCCTTCTCATCCCCTGGTGATCCAACAGAAAGTCCCCCACTCCTCCTTGTCCTCCTGGTGCTCGTCCTGCCTTTCTCTGATGAGGCCTCACTTTCTGAGCTTTGGGCCACTGTGACTGCAGCAGTGACAACGGCGCTGGATATCCTAGATGATCTGAAAGGAGAATGGTCGTGGATTTATATGGTATTCAGAACATAGATCAGTTGAGGTCAGGGAGGTGAGGGGAGGAAACAGGTTTGAAAGACACAAAGTTCAGCAAGTTCAGGAACTTAAAATTCAGGATAAATCTGTGGAGAATATTTCTTACTCCTGAGAGCTGCATCTTTCTCTGTCTGAGGAGGTACGCCGTGCTATTCCTCTCTTCTCCCTCCTCTTCCTCTTATCTGTGCTCGCCTGACTGCACTCCATGCTGCTCTCGCCGCTCTCTGCATGGCCGCTGGATAGACGAACTAGGACGCATAAAAATTACAACCCATATAAAAGCTGGAGAACATACGATCAGGAAGATGAACGCACAGGAAAAACGAAGTGAACTGAAGTTCAACTTTTCATATTTTCTTTTCCCACCTGGTTTGATGTCCAGCTCCTGGGATAAATGACTGCTCCTGCTTCCACCACCTCTCTCTCTCTTTGAGCTTGGTGCTCTGCTTGTCTCAGCCTCCTCCTCCGCAGTCTGCACCACCCCAGTCTCAGTAGGAGGCTCCTCTGTGTAGAGCTGACCCCACAGAGCCTCAGAGCCTGAAGGAATTCCAGCTGCACCAGCAGTCCAGGGGTAGTGGGGCTGTGAGGAAGACCAAACTGGTGGATTCTGCCTGGGCCAGGGGTGATGATGACCAGGAGTAGAGGCGAGGTGGTGGAGCTGGAATGGGTCCGTGAAGATGGGTGGTGGGAGGAAAGATGGAGGGACATGAGAGGAACCCTGAAGTTGATGGGGTGCTCTGATGGGAAACCTAGATGCTTGGGATTGAGGGTTGGTCTGCCAGGAAGATTGCGTGTAAGGGAGATGTGGGGAGCCATGTTGGTTGTAGTCTAAGTGGCTGTTTTGGCTGCAGTGCTTTTGAGGGGGAGCAACATTTTGTGGCTTTGAAGTAGGTCCTGCAATCAAAGACACATATTACATGAGAGTGTATGTGTGTGATGCTTTAAACTTAAACTTGAACAAAATTATCTGAACAAAACAGTTTCTCAGTACCACTGGGCCATAAAATATTTTGTGGAAGCTTTGTGTAGAGTTAATTTGTTAAAAGGTGGAATTCTGAGATTTCTCTGGAACACGCAATCATTTCTTAAAGTCAGTGAAGAAGAGGACAAACCTTGTGAAAGTAAAGGTCGATCTGCTGAGGACTTTGTCAGTTTATCTTCTGTGTTCTTTAGACATGACCTCAAATACTCCTCCATCCTCTGTTAAAGAAACAAAGTCTTGTCCCACAAATAAAAGGTAAACAGAAATGTCTTTTACATCTATAATAAGTTATTTTCAGACCTCTTTTAGACAAATGGAAACTCCTCTTCACATCAGGCAGGATGAGGTAGAAACAGTTACAATGATTATGATTACTAAGCAGAGTAGAGCTCTCATGTGTAATTGTTAGAGCACTGTTCATCCCATTTTTTTCAGTGTAAGATGTGAGTTTCAGCCTCTCTCGAAATTATTTCTATTAAAATTACATATTGCTTTAGCTGCGTACTTTGATTCTGGGAGGTCTGGGGAGCCCTTCAACAAAAGACAACACTATCACAAAAAGCAAGAAAGCCACTGCATAATGAATTCCTTGTACCTTCTGAGCAGCCTGTGTTTTCTCCTTGAGTTCCTTCTGCCAGCGGGGGGAGCTCTCATCCAGGTACCGTTCATACTCCATCTGTAGGGGTCAAATGTCAAGAAGAAGCTTTAGCCTAGGGCTTCATGGAGGCAAGGCTATATGGATGAGAAGTGTGATTGATTGTTATGTAATAGACAGGTTTCCTCTCCTGAGCTACTTCCTAAATTTTTCCAGTGCATTTCCCACTGTGTATGTGTGTTTTCTTTGGGTCTACGCACCCGAATAGTTTTCATGGCAGCAGTAAGGCTCAACATCTCTCTCAGGGTGTCCTGCGCTTCTTCAAACTGCTGCAGCAGCTGCCTGTTGTGTTGTTGGGCTGTAAGCTCTCTCTCCCTCAGCTCCTGCCAGCGCTGCTGCAGATGCATCTCCCTGCTGCAGGAAACACAAACACAGGTAGTAAAAAAAATAAAAATAAAAACATTTACACCAACATACACAATAATGTACAGTGCAAGCATGCGTGTTGCCTTTTGTGTGTGCACTTTCAGATGTGTATGACTCTGAAGAGTTGGCCTGTCGACACTGTGAGAAAGAGACGTCATAATACAGAGTCATAGTCACCCATGCCACACACAAACTTCTCCACCTTCACACATAATCCTAAAGTGACAATAATACAATTTCCAGCTGAGATTATATTTACTTTTACATAGTATTTTGGGAATATTGCATATACTGTAGTTTCCACATAATAATTCTTTAAACTTTACCAATACTACACTATGGGCTTCCTCTTTTGTACAAATCCCTGTGGAAATCCAATTGTTTTATGGTCTTTTTTTGTCTTGTCCAGGCCCATGATAATCACTCCCACACGACATGACAGCATTTGGCATTCTTACCTCTTTTTCAGGCTGTGCTCTCTTTGTTTTGTGAAAGTGAAAGTTCTTTCTGTGCCGGTCAGATTCCCAAGCGACAGTAAATTCTCCTTCGGTGCAGCCATGATCGCAGGCTTTTCAGTAGATGCAGAGATTATCAGGGATTAAGGTCTGTGGGGGGAGGGACCACAGACATCTGCCAATCCACTCATGGGCGTGGTAATGGAGTTAAACAGTAGTGAGAGCTTTTTTAAATGCCACACAGGTAGCCAAGTTATTGAAACATCTGCTGAAGTATAGTTCTAAAAAACATAAATATGGCACTCTCTTTTTATAATAAAACACAACAAGGTATGCACCTTCAATGTACAGTTGAGCCCTCAAGGCTATTAGACCTCCGATTATTGTTTGATATACAACCTGAAATTATTTGGGGCAGGGGGCCCTGAATGGGGGAAATGATTCAGGAGGGTGGAGCTGGTAAGGGGTCAGGAACATGCCAGAAACTGCATTAGTTACTCTTCACGTTTTTAGGGGCCCCACATTTTCAAAAAATCGCTCCAGGTGAAGGGACCCCCACTCCCCACCACCACCCAACAGGTTGTGCTAAAAGCGGAACCACAGTGTGTTGTTGCACTGCGGATGTATGTTTGTGTTACACCTGGTTGAAGAACCTGATTCCGTCCAGTAACAGAGATACGTAACATTTCAGCTCTTACATTACATTAATGAGTCCCGAAGATATTTCAGGTGTTACTGATCTTATGCGGCTTGTTTAACCTCGGAGAGGAAGCTAACAGCGCGGTTCTTTGGCTAACTAAGCTAACCAACGGCCGCCACCGTGCGTCTGTCAAACCAGTCCTTCCAGTGAGCTCATCGCCTTTTGAGCTGTGATTTAAACACCACGCAGGGAAACGGACCGGGCAGGAAACATGACGAGCCTCGCCAGTAAAGTGTTCTGCAGGGTTGAGAGGCTGTGTCACCACCTCCCCGTGGTCCTCAACACCTTCCTGGTCTTCTCCATCACCGGGGAGGTGAGCTACCTGGTGCTGGTCGAGGCTCCGCTGGAGGCAGACCAGAAGAAGACGGCGTGGTCCGCCTGGTGGAAAGCGGCCCACCTGCTGGCCCAGTACTTCATGCTGGTCAACATCTGCTGGAACGCTCTGCTCTTTGTCAGAACCAGCCCCAGCATCAAGGGGGTGTTCCTGGGGGGAGAGGGCATGGGCCAGGGGTGGAGGTAAGGAAGGGGCAGCTGTGGGGATTATTACACATAACAGTTAACACTGGCCTCTAGACTGTATATCAAAAGTTGTACACCTGTAAAACCAAAATCTGTGACCTATCAGATTCTGTGATTACACCCAAACGATGATGTTTTCCTAACCATAACCAAGTACCTTTGCTACCTAAACCCAACCAAACTGCAACCGGTTCATATCGTCAACAAAGCCTCTGGCGCTCAACTTCCCATTTGGGTCACAGAATCTGATAGGTCACACATTTTGGTGTCACACCTGCTGTGAGAAGAGTATGCAGGGACCGTCTACAAAGTGCCACGCCGAAAAGACATAGTGCAGAAATATTCAATAACTTCACTCTTGTGAAATGTACTGTCACCCCACACACATTTACAAACTCCAGCTGGTTTTACTACAACACTTGGTTCGGGGAAATGTGCTTTTGCATGATCTTGGGGGCTTCACTGTTATACTGTGTATAACCATCAAATATCAGTTCATCCACTAGTGGTTGCCTGTTGGTTATACTTATTTAGAGAAATGTTCTTTTGAATAAATCTGGGATTTTTTTATCTTTAATAACTTCACTGTTATAAACTGTAGTCTCTCCATTATAAGCCCACTCATCAGTGGTCTGTTGGTTATACTACAACACTTAGTTTGTAGAATTATAGTTTTGCATAATAATTTGAACTTTAACATTCAGTAACTTCACTGTTACAAGCTGTAGTGTTTCCAAATTCCTCTCACACATGAATGGTATCCTGGTGGTTATACAACAACACTTAGTTTGGGGGAAATGTCTTTGTTGTTAATGGTTTTAATGTTTTTCAAGAAAGTGTATTCACACAATTCACACAATTTTCACAATTTAACAAGAATCTCTTCAGCATTGAAAGCATGTAAGAAGGTGTCTTCCTTTCTTACCACAAACTAAACATTGGTTTAGGCTTTATGAATTGCCAAACATACTGAAACACACAATACATCTTACATAGCTTTCTAAACTGCTTTTTCTGAGAAAGATAGAAGTTTTGTTTAGCAGCCTTTCTCAGTGGTTAAAAGTTGAAAAGTGGGGTTCATGATGGTTTGGTTATTGGTTAATTACAGTCGCAAAAAGTAAAAAGAATTATTTAGGAAATTATGTCTGACCCTCCATTTGTTTTTGTGACTAATAACTGATACATTTATAAAATCACTTTTGACAAGTTCACATGTGTTGCCCAGTTCTCTTTGTGGTGAGAATCCAAGTTAAATTGGTGTAAAGTATCATGTGTTCACACTGGTGCAATTATGGGCCTATATCATTTTGTTTGCTGTATTTGTCTTGAATTTAAATATAGTATCACATAGACCTGGAGAACAGCCATTAAAAATTGTTTACCCATTTGTCTTTATATAAATAACAAAATAAAAATATCTCTACAATGAAAAGAAGTTAAAGCCGTCGCCGTAGGAAATAAATTGAGACTCTGAAACAACCCACCTCATGTATTAATACATATTTCTCACATAATTAAAGTAGTTGTGTTTGGGGATTTTGTAAGTAAATTTTCAGGCTCATAGTGGTTCAAACAAATTACAATGACTGATTTTAATCAGTTTAGATCATACATTGTATTTAAGTGATCAGTAAAGTAGTACCTCTTTAGCGCACTCTGACCTTTTACTTGTCAGGTCAGTGCTGCTGTTCTTCTCATTTGTGCTCTTCTGAAGATCTTTGTCAGTGTTAAGTGTTGACTTTTGCTCTCTTTGGAACTGGAACAGTATTTGGAGCAGTGTAGAATTTGGAGCCGGCAGTGTGAGACTTTGCTCGATCTCTCTTTGCCAACCCTGCTGATATTGAGTTATGTCTTTTGGTCGCATGGGTTCGCATGAGAAGTTATGAGACATGATGTGTTCTCTGAATCTACCATGTAGAGAGTCATGCATTTTCCTGACAAAAGTCCCTGGTCTCAGTTGCTCCTGCTTTTTCTGAATTGAATGTTTAACAATTCCAAAACATCTCCCCACGTGGCAGCTTGTGTCCTTTGTTTTACTTTGGCCGAAGGTGTCACATTTTTGGTCAGATGCATATCTTTTCAAGTTCCCCAACATGTCTTTCTATTCAACTTTCTCCATTGTTTTTGGTTCAACTCGAACGCTGCTCTGCAATATTTTCTGTTGCTTGTCTTCTGTAAGTCTTCATCTCTGACTGCTTCCTCCACTTTAACTCCGCTCTGCAATGACATCTTCTGGGGTTCGTATTCTGCCTTATTCTCTTCTGTGTTGATTAGGACTGTATATAACGATTATTTTTCAAGTCTATTAATCAAACGATAATTTTTTCGATTTGTCGAGTAATCTAACGACTAACTTTGTGTATTCTAAATAAAAAACATTGCCTTTTACTTGATTAACTTACCAGTTTATCCAAAATAAATATCAAAAACATGTCAAATCAATAAATCAATATTTTATTCAATCATCCTGTTGAAGCACATTAGAATAATGACAATAGCAGCATATCTTAAAATGAATCAAATTTCTACGTCACTGATGTGTTGTGAAAATAATAACAATAACAGACATTTTTTTAGGCTACTTAAAACTGTATTTCAATATTGATTAATTCAGTATGATAATCAAATGTATTTCTGCATGAATGTGGGGCAAAGAAAACAACTGAAACTATATTGTACAAGAGTGAAGTTATTTAATATCTCTGCAATATGTCTTTTCAGCGTTGCACTTTGTAGACGGTCCCTGTGCACTCTCACAGCGGGCTGCACATAGAAACCAGTGGTAATTGTGCAGCTCATAGGACGACTCATTTTGGTGAATATTAGTTTGTAGCTTGTTGTTTTAACTGCAACTGCACTTTTGTCAGTCCTTCTTCCTCAACAAAATAAATATCTTAATAGAAAAATTAAATGCTAATTTGTGATAAAAATGAATGAAATCAAACATTTATTGAACATTTGTTATATTGTTATTGAGGAAAAGTATATTGCAGTATTTATCATTATTGTTTTATTGCCCAGACAGACAGACAGACAGTAGGGCTGGATGATATGGCCAAAATAGTAATCACGAAAAAAATTCTTATCTTTCTATATCGATAATTATCACGATAAAAACAGAAACTGTGGACCAACAGTCCATCATTACATTATATATTCACTATGTTAGAAGGAAATGTAACCTCTCTTGACAACTTATACCGCTCATCAGTATTAAAGAATTTTCTAGTATGTGTAGAATGCAAAAGTAGGAACCTTATAATTATGAGAATAACCACAGCAAAGAAATGCGATCCTCTGCTATTTCACAGTTGTAAAAATAGACTTAACACTGATGGCCTTAGTCTTTATGTTTCAGTGAGATTAATACCCAGTTTTGTCTGTGAAGTGTAGGAAAATCTCTTTCCATAAATAATAGTATTTTCTGTCTTTCTTTCCCATAGGTACTGTTATACATGCGAGACACACACTCCTCCTCGGTGCTCCCACTGCTATGACTGCAACGTGTGCGTGCTGCGGCGGGATCACCACTGCGTCTTCTTTGGCCGTTGTGTGGGTTTCCGTAACTACCGCTACTTTGTGAGCTGCTTGTTATTTATGTGGTCTGGTCTCCTGTACGCCACTATGATGAACGCGGAGGTCTTCATCGTCATATTGAAGGAGGGTTTGACTCTGCACAGTGTCCTTCTGCTGCTCATACCCTGGATCATGCTAGTTTCAGGTGCAATCTGGTTTTTACATTTTGCATAGCTGAGGTACTTATTTTCCACTAGTTTTACTCACCCTGGGTAAACTGAATGCAATCTATAAACTAATCTTTATTGACTGTGCTTTTAAAGTAGAGTGAGCTCCTGCATAGAAACTAGGTATGTTAAAGCAACTTGTATATACTTTTGGTTTTCTGTTATCATTTTAAACCCACGTGTAGTGTTTGACATAGGGCTGCACCTAATTATTATTTATATTAACAATTAATCTGATATTTTTGTGATTGGTAAATTTGTTGTTTTGTCTGTAAAATGTTGACATATTGAAGAATGCCCATCACAGCTCCATTCCCAGAGCCAAGGATGATTTCTTTAAATGTCTTGTTTTGTCTGACAACAGTTCACCCCCCCCCCCAAAATATTCTATTTACACTTAGACAAAACAGAGAAAAGCTTAAATCTTCACACTGGAGAAGCTGGAAGAGCTAAATGCTTGGTTTATTAGCTTTAAAAATGAGTCTGATTAATTGAGGATCAAAACAGTTCAAATTTCCCTCAATCTGCTTTAAAATCTGTACAGCATATGCCACCCTCTATACTTAGACCCTCGATTCAGATTTTAAAAAACTCCCCAAAAACCCTTTAACTGGGGAGAAAATGGAAGACACCTCAGAAAGAGAAACAGGAGGGATCCCTCTTTCACGATGGACAGACATGCAGTGCTGCCTTCCTCCTTGTTTTCGTGTCAGCTCTATGTTTATCTCACTTGATAGAAAGCTCTGGTCAAAGTGTCCCATTAATCACACACAGTGGTCTACATGTGATTGAACCAAACTGGTGGTGAAATAGTGAATGCAGACTTTTTATTTTAAATCTCTAATTATAATTTTATGAACGTTAAAGGTTACTTTCCCCTAAGCTCTCTTTAAATTTTAATGCAGCGGGATGCTACATTTATGCTCTTGGACACATTGGTTCAGTTGTTTGTGATGAGATGGATTGCAGAAATATAACAATCTATTTCATGTACAAATATGAACGTGCATTTATATAACTGGCTATGATTTAATCTGTGCCGCTGTTCCATCTCTCCACAGGCCAGGTCTCAGCGCGTGCCTTTGCCTTCGCCTTCATCGCTGACACATGCGTGGTGGGACTCCTTCTGGTGTCCGCCTTCTTCTTCTTCCATCTCTTCCTGATGTTTCGGGGCCAGACCACCAGGGAGTGGTACTCGTCCCGCCGGCCCTACAGCCTCGGGCTCCTGGGCAACCTGCGTCACACTCTGGGGCTTCGCTGGTACCTCTGCTGGCTCTGCCCACTCATCCCATCACCTCTACCTGGAGATGGGATAAACTTCCTGGTCACCGGATCGCTGGAACCCATCCGGTAACAGCTGAAAGTCTGAATTTTAACGGGCCGGGTGTCTTTGCGTTCGTGATGGTTAATGTTATCGGGAGCATCAGCAGGGAAGATCACCTCAGGTCAAGAAGAGGAAGCTTACGATGGGAAGATGCAAGGACAGTATGTGGTTGTTTAAGATGTTACTAGGTATGAGAGTAGGTGTAACTGTTTACCAGTATCTCCTTTAGCCTCTGAGACAAAGAAACGATGGGTCTACTCAGAAATGTACCTTGACGTAAAGGTAATCTATACGCTCATTGAGGCTGGCCTCAGGGTATTAACACAGAAATCAGCAGAGTTCCTCTGGAATACTGTGCACTGAAAACGTGTGTACACAACACTGAAATTAGAATGTATTTTAATGATTGGAAAAATGTATAATTTTCTCTACTGCTGTTTAGTCATCCTCTTGGGATCGGTGATGGTAACTACTTTCTCATACTGTTTATTTTGCCTAAATCTGACGGTCATACAAATTTGGCTTGCACTGTTTCTGAATAGACCGTGGGGTGTAAAAAAATACCGCCTGCTATCTGCCGTTGTGCATTAGCCGCTGGGATCATGATGTGCTTTCCACTTGTCTACATCTACTCCTGATCTCCAGCTGAGTTTATTGCACTGAGCTTTTTATTGAAGGATTAAAGGAACTATAAATGGTGTGAAATCTAGTGTTGTATTTTACAGACTAATGTTAAATCATTTAGTGAACACACTATTTCAAATCGTTCTTTCCCCATGTCTCACATTATGTTATTTCAGTCAGTGAGGGACCTACTACAAAGCAAACCAAACCTAGCGTGCAGTGTAACAACATGTCCCAATTCCCTACTACATACTAATTGTACAGTATATACTGTATACTAATCTTTAGAGTATTGTGTTTTAATAGTTAGTATACAGGAAATCAATATGCTTTTATACAATACTTAACGCTGTCAGACGTCAATCAGACTGTGACTTTAGAATGTCACTGTCAACTAAACCCAACAAAGAGAATGTGGTATGGATTTGGGATGAACTGGACTTCTGTTACCTCCATTACAATCCTTTTTTTCCTCTCTTTTGTAATGATTCTCCTGGCCTTAAAATCTAGTGAATATATTTACATTACAGCCAAAGTTTGTAAGTATTTTAAATTGTTTGCTAAATATACATGTCTACTTCATTTCTTGATTTTTGTTTGCTATTTAAAATGGGTCATTTGGTTTGCCATTTGAAAGTGCTTCAATAAATTGTGTCAAGGGGAAGAAATGTTTTATCTATTTCTATTAAAATTGTTGTGGGACAAGTTGTGTTGTAGTCAAATTTAGTGCTTCCTGGAGTTCATATAATGTCAAACATGTCACTTGAGTTGTAAAATCTGGTCATTCACATTCCTGCTGATTTAATTCTGATACAGAGAAACTATTTTAAAAGTGCACACCATTTGTAAGAAGGATACTTATGAGTTTGACAAAGATGCTCTCAAGCTACACGTTTTAATAAATGTTAGCTGACCCCACAAGTGTTCACTGAGCTTCCAGCTCTAGTTATTTCTCACATGTAACTGTCCTTAGGGAGACAACAGTTAGACTGATAAGGCAGAGACTGTAGCTCAGGCGTCAGGCTAGCAGATATCAGTGTTCTCTGTGAATCTTACAAGGTTGAGTCTTACAAGAAGTCACTGGCTCCACAGATTAGAGTACAACTCATGGATGGTGATAGATTCCAATATGATGAAGCATTGGAGTCTAAACATCAGATAGATTAGATGTTCTAGGTTAAGGCCAGCTAAAGATGACCTAATAGGGAAACCTACAGGCACTAGGGGGAAGAGGGAAACATAAAAGGGACCAAAAGATGCAATCCTTCAGATTTTGGCATTTGACTCCTCGGTTCTTCATCAGTCTCCAAAACATCTTCACACCTGAACCTGGCTCACAATATTTCTTCAACACTTTGGACCTATCCTCATACAAGGGGCTTCTGTACCTGGTCAACGTCTGACGTTTTATTCCACGTCTGACGTCACAATCACGATGTGATAACCACGGGCTTGTCGTCACCTTGTTGGTTTGAACGGTAACTGTTAACCGCCAGGAGACCCGGCAACGTGCGCATCCTGCGTTTGGTGTGGCAGTCAGAACCGCGGTTTAGCTGCTCCCACCGTCTGCATTTCGATTTACTCGCTGGTAAGGCATTTTTGTTTTCGATTTTTAATGACATATCCGTATAAAACATTAACGTTAGCAGTTTTAGCCATATGGTAACTTTTGGTCAAGTTCGAACTTTGCCTTGTGTAACGTTAGATAACTAGCTGAGAAACATTAGCTAATGGTAACTTTGCCCGTAAGTCAGTGAAAACAGGAGTGATGGGTGTCAACATCTCTCGAAAAACACTGGACTTAATTGTGTGTCCAACACTAATGTGGAATGTTAACATTAGTTAGTTATCTAAAATGCTAAGTCTTTCTAAAAATCTGACTGATACAAGTTTAAAGTTAGCTATGGAAAGCAGCATGAACTGTAACGTTAGCTAACTTAACGTTACGTTTGCCTATTGACGAATGTAGCATTATACACATGCCACATTGGCTGACTTTCAGAGATGCACGTTTTTGCTGAAAAGAGCAGTTAAAGTCACTGAGAGAATTTATTTATTTTTAATAATAAACTGGGATAGTAATAGTGATTGCAACCACAGGATATTTGATTCTTTTTAAATGTCAGTACTCAGGATAATCAGCTTTTAAAGCTTGGAATAAAAAGGCAATAAAAGATTTAATTTCATTGCAGGTGTCTCTGCTTTCTGCAAAGTTGAATGAATGTATGTTACCAGTCTGATTAGAAAAGTAACATTATGAGTCAGTGAGAGAGTAACACTATCAACAAATAAAAGAGGACCACTGTCATAATGTGTCTTTTTTTTTAAATAAATTAAGGTTGGAAGAAAAATGTATGGAAAATATATCTTAAAAACCTGTGTGTCGCTCCTTATGGTAATTTTGGTGGGTTATATGTTTTTCACACAAGGACGAGTAAGTCAGCAGGATGGACGTCACAGAGGAAAATATGTGAGTGTTGTTCCCTGAATAAAACCCCATGCAAAAAGTTGTTTGGTTTAGTTACTTAGCAGCAACATATGAAGCTTTTCTCTGGTGTATGTGTCTGTGTGTGTGTGTGTGTAGGACACCGAAGGAGATGCTTGAGAAAATAGCTGAGCTGGATTATAGTCAAAGCCAGCTGAGGGGCCTGAATGCTGAGATGAGGCGCTGGTTGGATGCTGCAGATGATGATATGGCAATGCTGCGCACGGAAAACGCCACTCTCAGAAAACAAGTGAAAGCGTAACTAGTCGCACATGATTGTTTCTCCTCATTAGCAGGAGGGTTCCTCAACCGTCTGACTATCAAATTAAACACTTCAAGAAATCTTTTAGCATATTAATCACCTATAATTCTCTTTGATCTCCCTGCTGCCTTTCAGACAGCCACTCTCTTTTTCCTCAAGCATGTTGTTGGCTTACCTCCTACACAGAATGTTGGAACTTATTTTTCCACTTTCTCTGGGCTCATCACCTGTTTTCATTTGTTCTCTTAATGTACTTCCTCTGGGCTCTGTTTTAAGAAAGTACCCATCTCTGTGATGATATTTAGCTATATCTTTTAGTGAAACCTTGTGATGTTTGCTGGGAAAGTTAAACTCTAAATGACTAAATACTCTCCACAGCTAGATGAATAAAAGGTAGCGGCCCTTATCTTTGGTTCTGCAGACTCCAGCTATGCTTTTGATTCTGGCTCAGAATTGGATAAAAGCATCCACTATATCATTAGCTTTAGAGGTCTTTACCTTAACTTAGATTGTAACTATATTATTGTTCCTATTTTGTCTAAATATTTTAATATTTTTGTTAAGTGTATATGCATCCAGTGCTTTAAAACTGTTGTGGGGAAAACTGTCAGGATCTTGTAGATGTGTTTGTGTGTCTGCAGCCTAGAGAAGATCATCAGTGAAGCGCAGCAGGTTGAAGCAGAGCCTTGCAGGTCCCTCCTGGCTGAGAACCTCGACGAAAAGAGATGCAGTGAAAAGAAGATTCAGAAATTGGTGGGTAACCAGAACTGATTATATTATATTATATTACAATGTATTACTGGTGTTTTCACAAAGATGTTTTAGACTTAAAATGTTAGACCACACGTGACACTGGACAAAACAAAATCCTTGATAATATCTAGTCTTACATTGAATTGATAAACACACAATATGTAATTATTTTCCGCTAAGGCTCTCTCACATCAAAACAATAACAAAAGACAAAGTTTGATGTCACGAGGTAGTGTGTCATCATGGGAGTTGTTGTCTTTCATCGTCACTGCTGTTGTCTTCATTGCATTCAGCTTCTCCTGGTATTGAATCCTTCAGTGTTAATCGTTCAGGAGTTTTTACCAGGAGCCAAATTATCTGCAGACGTCTCCTCCCTTCCAAAACAAATGGATCAGGTGAATAAAACCGGTAGTAACGGTGAATAAAGCAGTTTCACGTTAAAAAACAGTGTTTCTCCAACACTGTTTGGCACACAAAGGACGTCCCAAAGGTGCTGCGAGCCAAGCTTGCTGCTGACATTTGCTCAGATTGTTGCTCTGATTACTTAAGATCCAGACGTTCAGGAGTTTTTTTTCTTCAGGAGCCAAATTTTCCACAGAGGTCTCCTCTTCTAATCACACAGACCTTGGATTAGAACCTGTAGAAACACTGAATAAAGCAGTTTCATGCTAAAACGCCAACGCTGTTTGCCAGACAACCACAATGCTGATGCATTCGCAAAGGGCATATGACGTACTGACAGGTGACCACATGAATCGCACTGTTAGATTTTATTAAAATTGCGGATTTGTCTGGGTTTGAAAAATTTTTGGAAACATTTGTGATCATATAAGGACACAAAAAATATATAACGTAGCAAATTATATCTTTGAATTGTTGCTTCACAGGCAGAGCTCAGAGGTCTTCACTTTCAAATTTGTGCACAGAGCTGCGACAAACAAACATTTGAATGTTTTTGTTTTTTTTGTCATTTTTCAGGAACCACTGTGTTAAATTGTGTTCTTTGCTGGAGTCTAATCTAGGTTGTACACAGAGGTCAGGGAAGGATTTTTGTTTAATTATGTTTTTCATGTGAAATCATGGATTGCAAGTTTGCTGATTTGTAATTAGATTGCAAAAAGAGTTAAAGCCAGCTTCTTTAACACCTATACTGTGAAGGTTTAGTTCAAGTTGTGCGTTATTTTAGGTTATAAACAATGTCAGACTAGTTTTGAGACTTTCACATTCATTGACACTACCCCTATTTCTGAGAAATGGTGATTGATCTAAACATCAATGCATTCACCGTTCCATAGTCAAATATGTTGGATGATGGTTGTCATTTTAAATATCCAGGCTGCCCTTTGTGGTGTTGTGTTTTTGTGCAGGAGAAGGAATGCACCATGACTTTGGAACAAAATAAGAAATTAACCGCAGAGGTATGGTGTCTGTTACTTTTCACACAACTAATTTGCCAGCATACACTACAGTTACAAGTTGTACAGAAATTTGCACATTTAAATGTCATTCTGACTTTTTCAGCTGAAGAGCCTCCAGCAAGAGAGAGACCAGGACAAGATCAGCTTGACCAAGCTCAGGGCTGCCCTTCAAACCCTCGAGGTAACACCGTGAATTCAGCAAATTCAGAGGTGTTTCATTATTTTCCTCTCCCCATTCATCCTACCAGTATTTGCATTAGTCATTTTACACCGTCAAACCACTCCTGATTTGTTATGTCGTGTGTTTCTTCAGTGTGAAATGGAAGAGGCTCAGTTAGGGCTGCAGCATAGGGATGAGGTTATTCATCAGGTAGGAACAGAGACATCAGCACTAGGTGGTTAAATATTCATCTTTCTCTTTGGAGTTCAGCATGAATATCTTGAACCGTTCTTTGTCTTTCATCATTCGAAGGTCACATTTTTTTCACATTTGTGTTTGTAATAGAAAAATGTGCGGTTAAAGCACTCGGAGGAAACAGAAGAAGAGTGTTCCAACATCATAAAGGTAAAGATCATCCGTTGCTATTGCAGTTAAAAAGACAATTCCAAAATGGTAAATACACACACTAGTTAAAATATGTTTTCTTACTTTAGTATTGACACTGTTGTGTACAATTTGAAAATGTGATGTAAAAGTGTGTAGGTTCTCGCAGTGTTGACTAATGACAGATGTTCAGGGCCCTGTTTCACCAGGTTTGCAACAATGTGAAACTTGAGATTACATAACAATATCTCCAACATTATCCCTGAGCTGTTAATGTGTTAGTTTTGATTTCTGATCATGTTTTTCTCCTCCAGGATCTCAGGCTGACAAATCAGGAGCTGAGGAAGCAGTTGGAGGACAGACTGGATGAGGCTTCATTGTAAACCTGGTCCTTGTGTTTTTAAAATGAGTATCATGACATACACAGAGTCATCTGCTTGCACTCACACCGTACTTCGTGTCTGCTGTTGGTTTCCAGCGCCACTGTGAATGCCCTGATGAGAGAACAGGAAGGATCACTCGGACCCCCTTTATCCTTCGCTGAGGAAATGAAGCTGCAGGCCTCTTCAGCTGAAGTGAAAGCCAGCATGTCAGACCCCGCTGATCTTAGACATGTATGGCCTCTCCCTCTCATGTTTAGACTTGAACTTGTAATGAATGTAAAACACAGTATAATACAACAGTTAGTTTTTGTTGATGGTGTTTATTAAACATAATGATCATTTTGGAGGCTGCAGTTTGTGGTGCTGTTGAATTGTATTGCTTTATACTGGCGGCTGTTTCTAGTATTTTGTCTATCCCATTTATTTCAATGAGCTCGGGCTCATTGAAATAACAGAAACATCTCCATGTGTAATGCAGTGCAGTTCAAGATGCCACAAACTGCAACCTCCATGATTATACGCCTTGCACTTCCAGAAGTGACCACTAGAGTGTGTCAGACAGCAGCGACATGACTGTAGCTGTGGAAATGAATAGATCAGTGATGTCTGCCACTGTGTCTGCAGGAGCAAACTGAGGCCGAGCTGCTGAAACCTCAAAGTCTCACAGTAGACCTTCAGACCAAAAGGTACTTCAGTTTCACATTATAAAACATCTCTGTTAGACTTTGGTGTAGGATATGAGAAAGGTCAAACTATAACATAATAATTCTGTTTAGTAACAAATTGAATTTCTATCTCTTGATGTTTGCTGACTCGTTATCGTCCCTCTGGTTTCTGCGTTGTCTAAGGTGTGCTGGTATCTTTGAGGGAGCTCGAGTATTTGTGCTGTTCATCTTCATTCTCACCGTTTTGGCCATTGTGGCTTCAGGAAGCTGTGCAGGAAATTTTTTTCCCATCAACACCTTGTGGAGCGGCGTACGCCTGACGTTACAGCCCTATTGCAGTGTGCGTTATGGGACCTTACCTCCTATTTGATGTAAACACTCCCTCTTATAAACATGTTTATCTGGCTGGTTGTGTTTCTTTTTTTCTTTTTAGCAGCTGAGTATGTTTTCTGTTCAGTGGGTCATAAGGCCGAAGGTTTTATTTTAAATGTTAGCAATTTTACAAAAGAAACATGGAATTTGCGGTGAATATAAATCATTTTGCACATTTAGTTTTGTGATAACAACTCTTTGAAAAACATGATTCAATAACCTGAAACAAACTAATAAGACATCTAATGACCTTTTTTCACATGTATTTCACTAGAACAGTTAATTAAAACATGTATTTCAATTTTTTCAACTCTGTCTTCAAACAATACTCACTTGTCAATTGAGAAAGTTTTTGTTTGGAACATTTTCTCCTGTTGAAACACAAAGTGGGACTTTTGTACTAAAAAGACTTAAGTTTGGAAGAAACCCCTTTTGATTTGTTCTATTTTTACACAGAACGAGCACTTTAGATTTTGTCCCCAGTTACTTAAATTTAAATAGTTTTAGGTAGGGATGTCTTTTTGGGGCCATTGTTTGGAAACCAAACACTTATGCTCTGTACATATGGCACTGTGAATATTGTATTAAAGATTCAGAGTGTAATATTTAGGAGGATCTATTAACATAAATGCAAGATAATATACATAACTAGGTTTTAGTGGTGTATAAAGACCTTACATAATGATCCGTTATGTTTTTATGACCTTAGATGAGCCATTTCCTTCTACACATACCCCAGGTCCTCTTACATGGACAAAGCCATGTTTCTACACTAACCCAAACTGATAAACTACTCCACAGAGCATGTTTCTTCACTGCGTGAGAATACTTTAGAATGACTAAATTTATTATAAAGTACATATTTTGTCTGAGGAGCAAGTGCATGTACATTGAGCCATTTGTTGCCATTTGAAAACTTTAACACTGAACCTTTCAGATAAGTAAGTGTGATAGTTATTTGCAATAAACAGGGAAATTTTTATCTTCTGATGTCTCCTCATCCTGCTTTTAGTGATTAACCTCATTAGGCTTTTATGTTGAAACCCATCTAGGAACACCAGACTGGCCGTGACCACAAATTCAAGACCTTTATTTTTCTCCACAGTGAGAACATGACAGCTATACCAGAAATGGTTTAGAGCAGTCCAGCCTGCCAGTAAGACCATTACTTAACCCATAATTATCATGATAAGGGGGGGGGGGGGGTTGGTGTCCCAGCTGCACTACAACGTTATAAAACATTTCACGTTTTGAATTACATGCACCAGTACCCTCCGTGCCTTCCCGTGCTGCCTGTCGCCCCGCCCAGCTGAAGGCGCTCCCTGGCGGTCTGTGGCTTCAGGAAAACACCCTCTTCCAGACGGAAGATCAAAAAAAAAGGGGGGGGGGGATCCTATTCAGAGGTGGAGGGACGTGAGGACCGATTGAATCGAGGGATGTTTATTGTTTGTGTGTGTGTATAGTTGCTGGCAGATGATTCATTGTCTTTGCGTGTCTGCTGGAGTTGGAGCTTATGGATGCTGCGCCGGTGCTGAGATGCTGATGACAGGCCGAGCCTATGAAAGCACCCTCTTGTATCGTGGATGGAGCCGAAAGCTGTAAGCTACAACAGTTGAAAGACGATAAACATCAGAGATAACGAGAGCAACAGGCCCGTTTGATCCAGCCTGTAAGCGGGGCACCGTAGCGGCTGTGTGAGGAGCAGCAGCGGCGGTGGCGACATGTTCTGAGCGGAGAGCCGGCGAGCGGCGGCGGGATGAAGGCACCGAGGAGACCGAGGCAGACGCGGCTGCTCGCCCGGTTCTGCGTCTGTGGAGTCGGTCTGCTCGCAGCCGCCTGGGTCTTTCACCTCAATGATGTTACAGGTGCTTCTCAAGTCTGTGTCCAACAATGCAAATCATAGCCTATTATTTAAATGTACGATTACAGTAATAATAGCCTAACTGATGATGTCAACCTGTAAGAGTATTTTACCAAAAGCAAAAAGAAATATAAAGTTAGGTAAAGGTTATGCTGAACTTTCCGCATTTCACAAACACTCAGATAGGCTATACCCTACCTACAGAGTTCATATTTTATCAGTAGTGTATATTTATATGCCAATCCCTCCTGTTAGTCTCCCATGGAACCACTGTGTATCGTGACATCTCCTTGTCCAAGAGAGAGCTCATCCAGCAAAAAGAAGACAACAACCAGACTGGCAGCATTTCTAAATCAGGTGAGACATTTTATGGTGTGTGTAGGCCTATATGTGTTTGTGTGTGTGTGTGTGTGTGTTTGTATGAGACAGGAGAGAGAATGTTTTCTGCCTTATGAAAGTAGAAAATTAATGGTCACACCAATATATTTGATTTTGGGTTTGGATATTCATGCAGTAAAGAATCTAAGTCACTGCGGTGTATGTGTGTGTGTATTTTGTGTATGAAGTATACAAGGTCCCATCTCTATTAATCTGTTTTAATCCAAGTCTATCTCCTCCTGTTCACCGATCTTCCTCCCCAGTCCACCTCATTCTTAATTTCTTCAAACTCTGTCACATCTAGATGTTTAAACACAGTTAGGCCTTTGAGGGACCCGGTTGCTAGGAAACTGAATGCTGAGTTTGTGGTTGGATGGCGTGTGGCCCTGTCATAATGACCTGCTGATTAGTAGCCTCTCATCAGCAGTTCTCTCATTGAGAGAGAAGCACTGACAGCATCTCGCAGTCTGATGCGAGATGAAGAGACTTTGTAGCTAATTACAGAGAATATATTGAGCTACATATACTGAACTAGAACAAAACGTACTGCCTCAGGGAAACACAGTACAGATTAAATTCAAGGCTTCAAAGATGTTTTACTCCCAATTACCATTTTGGTGTTTTCAAGAGCATCATCTTGTTATTGATGATAAAAAATATACTGTTTGATCAGAGAGTCGGAGGGGGGAAAAAATCACGTGACACGTTGTCACACCATATCTGTGTCTTCATCCCTACACGTGACTCGTTTTAAACCTATGCTTTAAACTGACTAACTGCAAAATGTTGCCTCTGTGAAGGATCTTATTCCCACATGCATGTTTCCCTCTGCTGTTTGTGACCTTCATCCTCAGTGGAGGTTTTATAAATCCTCACTCAAAATTAAATCATTAAACCTTGTGGGGAAAGTCACCTGGGAGACAGCTTTCCAGATTATTGTCTTGTTACTGCCTTATAATGAAAGCTTCTTTTTTTTTCTTCAGTGAGTCATGGCATTTATTTGAGCACATGTGCAAGACAGTGCAGTCTAGCAAAACACTCGCTTGCAGCTGGAAAGAGGGTGACTGATGCATTGTTTAACTCAGCCACATTAGATGCCGCTGAAGGTTGACATTAAAAGAACCGCTGGCTTTTGTAAAGAGTTGGAAAAGAATGTCAGTGATAATGTAAATACCTGGGTGGAGCTGGCATGAAGTTACATGAGGCGTGATTTCAAAGAAAACCTCAATTATATTGCAACTTAACTGGTTTAGTCGCATGACTGGTGCACCACTTTAACATTAAGTCATCCCAGCCCGTGTTGCAAACACATTTCAAACCTGAACAAACAAGTGACTGGAGGTTAAGGGTAGAGCTACAAATAACTTATTGATTAATCTGCTGATTCTAAAATGGCAATCACAATTTCCTGAAGCCCAAGGAATGTCATCAAATTATTTGTTTTGTCTGTCACAGTCCAAAACCCAAAGAGATTCAGTTTACAAGCATATGAGACATAACAAGCAGAAAGCATGCATACATTATTCAACATATTTCATATCAGTATTTGCAACGGTATGGGGCTTTTCCCCTTTTTTTTAGCGTGGTCCTTCAATCCTCAAATTCCTGCCCTCGCAGTCAAAGCGACGCTTAGACTTGCTCTACTTCTGCTAAAACTGTGTGCTTGCATTCAGATATATTGTTGCTTGCACAGATTTCCTGCACTCTAGCTTCAGCCCTTTCTCTCTCAGTCAGGCTGCCTCTGTGCGCTCGTGAAACGTGAAACGGATGGTTTGTGCAGTAACCCTGTCAAAACTCCCCAACCAATAGAATGCCAGTTGAAGTGTTGACCAATGCAATTATCCCTGTCTTGTGCTTTACAGGAGATTTCAAAAGAAAAAAAGTATACAACCCACAACATGAGGTTATAAAATCAAGAAAAAGATGATTTTTAAAAGATGCACACAGATTTGACGTCTCTGAAACTTTTGTGGGAGGCTGTTCCAAAGTCGAAGAGAAACAACAGGGAAAGCACGGTCACCTTTAGCTTTCAGCCTTGTCCCTGCTCTGAATACTTGAAACTCATCTCAGAGGTCAAAGGGCACAGCAACCCCTTTAAATACAGAGGTGCATGACCATGTAATACCTTGTATTAAAATCACTCCTTTTAAAATCAAATGACAGGGAACCAACGAAGAGACAGAATAGCAGCCAATTTTTAAAAATGATTAGTTGACTATAAGAATACTAGTAGATTAATTTTTCTGTGGATTGACTAATTATTATTATATATTTATATAATTATTAATGTGCTAATTGTTTCAACTCCAGTTTCCCTAATTTTATATTTCATAAGATTTCTCTCTGTCCATTTCTTCTTCAGGTGTCAGTGATTTTCCTGAAGACATCTTTACTCAGGAGCAGAGGAGACAGGGAGCTGTTCTCCTTCATGCTCTCTGTGTGAGTACCGGCTCTGCCTGAAAGCCAGAATTTGAGATGAAAGAAGCTTCATTTTGTTGCATTAAATTTTCAAACAGATGCAGATATTACATGTCTCCCATGTGGCCAATAACATGTCTCCTGGATTTCACAGGCTATCTACATGTTTCATGCGCTGGCCATCGTGTGCGATGTTTACTTTGTTCCATCACTGGAAAAAGTATCAGAGGTATGAACTAAAGGCATATCTGACATGGTTGAAAATAAAATCATGTACGACATAAAGGACAGTTTCTGAGTTAAAAATCAACCAGATTTTTTGTCTGCAAGTTGATAGCTGATGTTCTCTTTCTGTTCACCGGGTGTTAACTGGGGGT